AAGTGTGTGCTACGGTGATTTGGGATGTTTTGATAACTTTGCACCGTTCAACAACGCTTTTCTTGACCTACCTGTTAGTCCAGATCTCATCAATACGACTTTTAGGTAAAACGACTTAGTTCTATCTTTATTCGTCATTTACTTAATAACGAAAAAGGAATATTAGGGACCCTAAATCGACCAGCATGCAAAAGTCTGGCGAGTCTTATTCAGTCGACCAAGCTTAAAATGATTGCATGACAAGATAAAAAGATTCTTTGTGAAACTCAGCGGTTACTCTTCAAATATGATTGTTGCTTCTATTTTTGTAGACTGTACACACGTCAAAATCAACTTCATGACGAAGGTCAATACTTAAACTATAGTGATTCCTCCACCATTCAGCATTCTAATTTTGATCATAGCAAGGAGACTAAGATCATCATTCATGGATTTTCAAATAATATGAATAGCGAGTGGCTGCACAGAATGAAGGATGAATTTTTGAAGGCGGTAAGTGCAAGATGGCCACCCACTAATGAGCAGCCACGAAATTGTAACCTTCCTAATGAATAACCTTATAATATGGTTACCTTCACTTTTACCCGATGATACTTTCAGTTTGCATTGCAAGAATAAAGATCGATAAGGTCTAGTTCCTGTTTCCACGTGGAAAATAATATATCAATGTGCATATTTATAGATTGTGAAGTGAATTTTGGTGTGTTTGAGAGAGGGGCGAAATCCTTGATTTATGTACCTCATTTAGTTATCACTTGTTTTTTAACAGTCAGATTTCAAATTTGTCCTCCATAACAATAAGTTTGAATTCTATTTTAGATCAAAATTAAGATATTGTAAAATATACTAAGTATATCGCTACATACTCGCACTTTAAGGGAAACTTTTAGATCCAGCTACGCTTAATCTATGTGTAGATTATCTATCTTTAATTAACCTTCTACCTGGGTTATTTAAAGAAGATTTCTCTGTATTTTTCAGGAAGATTTCAATGTGATTATTGTTGGATGGGGAAATGGAGCCAAATTTCCTGATTACCCACAGGCTGTATCTAATACAAGACTTGTAGCAACACAAACAAACAGACTTATTTTAGAATTGGTTAAATTGGGAGGAAGAATGGATCAGATACATTTAATAGGCCATAGCTTAGGGGCACACACTTGTGGTTTATGTGGATATCTACTGAAAGGAAAGCTCAAAAGAATTACAGGTAAGAACTGCTACATACATGTCTCTAATGCCGAATTGGTTCAAAAAATAAAAAAAAAGTAAAAAATTTTGGTTATAGAAAATTAAAAATATAAATTTGATATCCGCTTAGTGATATATTTCTCGGGTATCTGGATTCCAATGGCATTAAATTGAATTTCTTAACTAGGAAAAATAGATAATCTAGAATCGAGGATTGAGCATTATGTAGGTCTGAGATTAGGCGGCCCCCAAACCCCTCGCCCAAAAATATGCTGCATTTCTACGCTCGGTGTATTTGATTTTCTGCCCTGACATGGTATAATGACTCAGTGGCTATGGAGGTAAAAGGGCACACGTTGCAAAATATCAGTTCTATGTATTCTGTATGCCTCACATTGTAAACTACACCAGACCCAATTATCTGTTGTCTGAATGTCTCTCAAATGATTAATTTTGTCTTCTAGGATTAGATCCTGCTGGACCAGACTTTATTATGTCCCCGCCTATAGTGGTATTAGACAAAGGCGACGCTCTGTTTGTGGACATTATACACTCTAATGCCAAGTCTCTAGCAGAAGGTGGTGCTGGAATGTTCAACTCGTCAGGCCATGTGGATTTCTATTTAAATGGTGGTAAAACACAACCTGGCTGCCATGATGGATTATCAGCTATCTTGAATGGAGGGGGTATATAGATTCTTTGTCTTAAATCAGCGCTCGATGTGGATCGCTGCAAGAAATTTCATTGATTGGTCAGAAACTCAGCAGTATCTAAAAGGCCACTTTCTCGCGTTCTTCGACAACTGTTTGGTATCAAGCAGCCATAATTGTCACAGAGTTCTAAGTGAAAAGAATTCTGCCTTTTTGGTTGAAGCAATACGCAATAAGAAAACACTCTCTGAGCGCTGTCAATGATTTGGAAGGCTTTACCACAAAAAGCCTCGTGGCAGTAACTTTTTCTCTGCTATCTTCAGTGCATGGCACAATATGTATTCCAGATCTTAAGGCCGCTGTTTCATGTAGTCATGGTAGATCACATAATGTATTCATTGAATCAATCAACTCACAGTGCCCCTTTACATCCTACCCATGTGATACTTATGTAAGTATACGCCACACTGCCAAATTATAATATCCCCTCCAAAACAGCCCGAATCGCTGATATTGTGAAAGCTTCTGCTTCAGAAAAGGATGAGGAATAACATCATTTCAATTTGGGGTGACTATTGGTCCGCTTAACTTTGGCGACGGAGTTCAATTTTGATAAGGTATCAATTATCCATCTGAACTTATTAATTTACCTGTGATTTTCTGTGAGCGTATGGAACCTAGTAATAGGTCAAACTGGTAAATTGAGTTAGTGAAGGCTATAGTTGTGAAATTTCTCATCTGAACAGGCTAACTTTCAATCTGGTAGATGTTTATCATGTGGTAGGACAGGGTGTTCTGTACTAGGTTATTATTCAGACCAGTATCATGCTAGAGGCAAGATGTATCTTAATACAGGCTCTAAACTTCCTTTCTGTGGTACGTATCTGTTATTTACAGTCGACGAAACGGGTCGCATGGGCGTATTTGGCAGATTGGATGGTATGGAAAAGTCATGGCAGATTTCCTTCGGTTGCAAGAAACTACCCATCGGATTCAGTGCACCCTTTTTTACCGGCTTCAGTGGAAAACCTCAACAAAATTGTCATCGATGCTGTAAATTATACGTTTCAGGTTACCATTATGGAGTGACAATTGTTGGTGCCAAAACTCCAGAAACCAAGGGCTTGATTTCTTTAAGACTGAAGGGAAAATGGGGTGATAGTGGTTTTGTTCCTGTAACAAAGTAATTATATGAAAATTTTACTTTCGTTCACCTGTAGCTGATGCAGAATGTAGGAATTAACACAAAAAAGAGCACGGTCGCTCCACGAGTTATTTCCGTAGTATTTGGCATCATATATTGCATTTCATTGTCGTTATTCCGAAGATTTCGGTTTATGGACTAATTATCGGACCTTTTGGGCACTCTTGAAAGACTTTTTCTTCGTCAACTACCTTTTCCGCTCTCTGAAAGCAGGATATATACCTCTCGTGAAGAAAATAAAGAACTATAAGCCCGTAGGCCTTCCAAACGTAGTGTAATTTGTCATTAATCGACATTTTGTTACAGGAAAGACGAAACGTTGAAAGGGCAGGCTATCTTTTCACATGTTGTAGTTTCACCCGCTGAAGTTGGTGATGTTGAAGAAGTAACTATTAAATATAACAAATTGTCTGGTTTCTGGTTCTCTAAGGGAGAAGAATCTTATGCTGTTGAAAAAGTCGATGTTGTTTCCGGTGAAAATGGCTCCCAGTAAGTGATTTCATACAAAATGAAGTAGCAAGCGTTAATGCATATATTCATCTCGCAGAAAATGTGCGTCGTATGCCTAGGCCTAGGTCGACGTCACATTGTCACCGATATACTGGACAGGATAGCAGTGTAATAGTACCGGTATCGACAGTTGTTGTATAAGATGATTTTTTCAAGGGAGTCAGACTGAGATTTTTACATAACGTTATCTGCGATTCACCTTATCATTCCATAAGAGTCACTGCGCAAATAAGATATTTTTGAAATGGCGACACGTAGCAAGAATTGCCCCTCCCCACTCCCCCTGATAGGACAGGGCAGGACAGGGAAGGTTACATGATAGTCTATAGGTTTATCTCTATTGGTTATATATTTACAGGTATACCTTCTGTTTACAAGATAAAGAATTAAAACATGGCACTGAAGTTAAAACTGTCAAATCGTCTGCTAAATACAGATGTTAACATAATATGCCTTGTTTTATCAGACCCTTTTTTTAGTTCATTTCAATTGAACTGAAATGCCATAGACCATAAAGATGATATCTCATCAGGAGGGAACGTGAGACTGTGAGGATAGAATCTAGTTTAGAGGCATCTTACCCTTCCATACTCACTGCCATAGCTTCCTCATGCTCATGTCACTGGCGAATCTAAATTTCCCTTGGCCCACATGAAATCTTCTTTTTCTGCAAAAAAAAAGATATATTAAAAACTGGAAAGTGGCAACGCATTTTATAAGCGTTATTAGACTTGAAAAAATCGCACAGGATTTATGGATTACAAATATTAATCGAGGGGAAGTAACTCTTATGGGAATTAAGAGAGGGGACATAACTCTAGTTGACGTCCTACGGTGGCGCTTCTTTGTTTACAAATTTGAAGTCGTCAAAATTTAATTTTACCATCTGAGCTTAGAAAAATTCCATTAGCCTGAAATTAGTAAGTTTGTGTTTTATTTTGGCGTTAGCTCTTGGCGTCTAGATACTAATTCTGCTACAACGGCGACGTGGTAAGTAGTTAGCACATCTAGTTTGTCTGTAGTCACTAGGTGACTAGGCCTAGGCTAGAGAAGCCAGAGACTGAGAGTGAGAGAGAGGGACCATCAAATTTCCTTTCTCTATCAGTTGTTAGTAATACATATCACTGTGAGAAAGTACGGGTAGAACAAGGTAAACCTGCAGTCTGTGGGGTGTAGGTAGGGGTGAATGTACTATGTAGGCTTAATCAGTTGTTCACTTACAACACTCGACATGAGCAATGTACTGAATGTAGTCTACCTACACAACTGAAAATGTCAAAACTTCGATTGCACAATTTTTACACGTTTTGTAAGGCGTAAATCTTGTTTGGCACAAATTACAACACACCTTTCTGGAGAAGAAAATATGCCTTAACAAAATAAAACAGTACGGTACGTACAACAGTGCAAGAACATCCCTGGAGTGGAAGCTTTTTAATCAGTTTTTATACTCAGTAGGCATATGCCTATAACTTTATTAGAAAACGTGATACTTTTATCTGGGCTAAGCGTAACAAGGGAGGTAACAGTTACATATATGTGATGTATAGAATTATCGTGGTTTAAAACCACTTACTCTTATATAAGCTTAAACATTGAACATTTGGCATGTGAAGACATACATTTACAGCTGAAACATTCCAAATATAAATTTTACGCACCGGTAAACAAAAATGGTACTTTGATTATAAGTTCCATAACTCTACAATTCGTTTTGAATTACTAGCTTAGACTCATTTTTCATCTTGAAATTTCACAATATACAAGAAAACAGTTTGCAGCAATGCCACAAAAGTAAAAGTTTCAAATTAACTTTTAATCATTGCAATAATTAATTTGAAGATCCCAGCTCTTTTCATGGGCTTTGATTGCAATTGGAAGCATGCTAAACATGTGACTCAAAAAAACGCTTGTAAAGGTCTTTTTTAACTTTAAAGTTTTCAAATAAAAGATTTATTAGAAACAAGTAACAGAACAGTCAAATGATCGTATGTGAGCGTGGAATTAATTTCATTTAAATAATGCATGTTACTTGCCTTTGTGGTGAACCCCGGAACAAAACCTAGAAGCCAGTTTGTGGTCCCTCAAGACCATACTCAACTTACTCGAAGCTTTACATGATCTAATCTTTAGAAGTGTCACATCCTCTCTACTGATAAAAGGTTGTATAGGATTACTCGCCTTAAGAAATCATCTAAGGATCTTGATTTTATTTCCGTAAAATTGTATGTTCGCGAGACATCCTTCAGGTAGGCATAGTCATTTATGTAGTACGTATAGGTATATAATATCCAATTGGAAAGTATCGGTAATAATTGAAGAGCAAAGTAAGTATTAATTGAATAGCAAGGTAAGTATTAATTGTCTAGCAAAGTAAGTACATGTATAAGTAGGCCACACTTTTCACTGGAGAGAAACTAAGACGCAGCTTCCTCCAGCCGTTTACAAAAATTATCATTGAAGGTGATCATTTGATATTTAGTTTTTAAAAAGGTGCCTAACCACAGAACTCTTCAAGTCTAAAGATAATAATTTATTAATAGTAGAAATGGCGGGAAATCGATATGCCGCTTTCTCAAATTGTCAATATTTTATGGTTTAATTAGAGGAACTATGATTTAATCATGGCTAAACACCTGGACTCTTATTATCATGACCCCGATCCATGTAGGCCAACATGTACTATTGGTACATGCTTTAAATAACTTAACCAATTACTGCTCTTTATAAATTCCTGTTGTCTGGTCCTGCTGACTTCTTGATTTGATTTTGTTGAGATCTTTTGATCTCTGGACCATATTTCCTATCTAAAGCCAGGACAGTATTTTTTGAACTAGTAGTAACTTTAACTAACTACCAAGATGTATCGAAGGTAAGAATATATTAAATTCTGTTGAAAAAAATAAACTGTCGCTATACCATCATATCTGGCAGATATTATCACTTGTACCATCATGACAGTCCTCGACAGATGAGATCGGTGCTCGCTGTACCATCTTGACTATCCTCAGCAGATGAGATCAGTGCTCGCTGTACCATCCTGACAGTCCTAGGCAGATAAGATCAGTACTCGCTGTACTATCTTGACAGTCCTAAGCAGATAAGATCAGTACTCGCTGTACTATCTTGACTGTCCTCAGCAGATGAGATCAGTGTTCGCTGTACCATCTTGACTGTCCTCAGCAGATGAGATCAGTGTTCGCTGTACCATCTTGACTGTCCTCAGCAGATGAGATCAGTGCTCGCTGTACTATCTTGACTGTCCTAAGCAGATGAGATCAGTGCTCGTTGTACTATCTTGACTGTCCTCAGCAGATGAGATCAGTGTTCGCTGTACCACCCTGACTATCTTCAGCAGATGGCATCAGTGCTCGCTGTACCATCATGACTGTCCTCGGCAGATGGGACCAGTTCTCGCTATTCCATAATGGATCGCGAGTAAGGTAACTTACAGAAAAATCAGATTGTTGCATACAATTTAGTTAAACACTTGAAACCATGTGTGTTCTTGGTTTCTAAATTCGTTTAGGTCTGGCATCTCAATATAATTTCGAATCGTAACGATGGGTTCCAAGAACCGGTTTACAGTGGCTAGTGTATGGGGTTTGAGAATAAACCAAGGCTTTAGTCTTTATCAACCAAATAAGCTTTTTTTTTTTTTTTTTTGGTTTTGAGGGGTTTTTTTTCTAGACCTTTCAGAACGATGTACGACTAAAACAGAATATGCCGTATGGAAACAGGCGTGTCAACCATCTAAATGGTATTCACACCGTTCAATTTTTCTTCATATTCCCTTTACGATGATATGATTTTATTTCAGTCCGTTTGATTGGATTGATCATTCCTACGAACCTACAATGGCTGAACGTAGAGAACTGGGTGCTAAGGTTTCCAGTGTATTTGATTTGGTCAAGAAAGTGGCACAGCCATGTGGCTCCAGTGTAATGTCATTTGCTTATGAGCCTCACTCAGACGATTTCCGCCCACCTAAAAAGGTATAATGTAAAAGTTATTTTCCTTGTTATAGAATTCTAGAGTGCCTTTTTGGGGTGTTATTATTTTGCTACCGAATGGATGAGCGTTCAAAAACCACCACAAGCTCTTGGGCTCTTGCATAGTGGTATAATCCCCATTAAATAAAATCTGGACCACTAGTCCATAAAACATTCCAAATGACATCAAGTATGGGTTAGTTATTTTGCTTCGAAAATTGCTTGTTTCAGTCATGAACTTAGAGTGCATAGAGTTGTACTATTACCATACCCTGGGTTGAGTTTTTGACATATATATGAATTCGCACTATGTCTAACCTAATCAACTTTTGTAGGTTTATTATGAGAACACATTCAGAATGGAACCACCCGAGAAATTCCGGCCTGATAAAGTAATGCCCATCATTGAAAGAGTTTTATCTAAACGTTTAGAAGGTACCGGTATACTAACTTTAATAAGTAAAATTTTGGTCAAATTTATGAAAACTCTACACCAAAATTTAAATAAATGTTTCCTTTAAATTATCAGAAATTGTTAACTTAAAAATCTTGCTATGAATTTTTTTTAACGTCAGACTATTTTAAAATGTTTACGTTTTAAGCTCGTTCTGCTTTTTGAAATCATTTACTTATATATTACCGATATCAGAGCTATCTTGGATAACTGCTTTTAACTTCTTTTGACTTTTCAGGAGTAAAATATGACCCAGTTGAATGTTCCGTTCTGGCAAAAACTACCGCTGACGAAATAAAAACACATGTAAAGGAACTTGACTTTAAAAGGTAGTTATGTTCTGTTAAAGTTTATTTTTGCCAGACTGTATCGCCAAAAAACTTTACGATATCTTCGTCAAAATTTTTATCCGTCAGCTCTCTCTTTTTTAAGTACAATTATGAGGGATCGGGCCCAACTTTTGAAACAACAGTTCAATCAAGACATCTTTTGCAGTGTGCATTGGCGTCACTAGCCTCCCGAGACTGGGGGTACAAATAGGGGTCAGACTAACCTAGGAAGAAGACGACTGTTGGGGTTGAGAATTATAATGCGGCAGCGCATCGGCGCAATTTGGATTGATTTTCATTTTATTTTTTATTTCAGATATAAAATTATTTCTCAGGTGACAATAGGAGAGAAAAAGGATCAAAGTATACAGGTTAGCAGCCGATTTTTATGGGACGCTGATCGAGATAACTATGCATCATTTTCATATGAAAGCCGGTCATTATTTGCTACTGGTATTCTGTTTGCTATATATTATGAATAGATATGCTGTTGTATAAAATTCAATCCTCGCGCTCATAGATATCAATTTTCATTGATCAGACGTCCGCATAGGATCCAATAGACAATCGTTACCTCCAATCAATTTTTCCTTTTTTTGGCAACGGTTTGATTTTGGTGAACTTGGATAACCGCATAGAGTTATTTTCGGATATATATTTAACATAATCAGGTTACTAGCCTTGCAGGGAAACATCTGGATTCACTTTAAGTCGTTTTCAGATCTGAAATGGACGTCGTGCCAATCGTGCCACTAGATTGAAGCACACATATTCTAAACCAACCCATCCAAAAAAGCTGATCGTCATCAGTCTGTACATAAGTAAATGTAATCTATGGGTGCAAGGATTTTCAAATTAAGGAAAATAACAATCAAATTCCTTTTTGAGAACATTAATCGCGTTTTTTTTTCTCACGTAACAGTCTAAAAAATCGCATACAGGTAACATGATTTGAGGTTAGTGACTACAAACCGTCTTAAATTTCCTTTAATCAAATTCGAATTCATTGTTGTATATTTGATCATATTTAAGTATTATTATATTTGTTAAGTTTTTACCGTGAAGTACTTTCTAATTGATATCCGTCATTGGAATAAACTATTTAAATATTTTCTTATCATTTGGTCCCCCATAAGCAAAGAAAGCTAAGATTGAAAAATTCGGGCGTAAGAGTGACATTTGTCGGAAGCCATCAGTTGAAGTTTTCCAACACATATTCTCTGCTAATATTCTTAAATGTTACAGAAATCTTCACAAAGTCGGAAATGACCTGACAAATGTAAAAATACGAAATGTTTGGTTTCTTCTGATACAACCAGTAGAAATATTGTGGTCTTCTGCAGTTCAATTAATAGAGAGTTAGCTCCCATTGACTGTATCTGAGAAGAAAGAATTATTTGTAGTCTAGTTTGTGGTGTTGCTTCCCTTAATTATAAAGAAGAAATATTTGTGGTACTGCCAATTTCTAAGCAGTGCAGTTGTTTCCCTTGGACCTTGAGCTCAACTAAGAAAACTGCAAGAAACTATTTTTTCTTGCTGTATAAATGTAATTAATAACCCAACATGATGCAATATGTATTCTATATAAATGCCGACATATAAGGGGAAGTATTACGACAAAGTCTATGTACCGTTTTGTTGTTCGCCGATTTATTACGTGTGGTATGACTACTTACCTAGATTCACCCGAACTTGTGAAATAAACCGAAATAATGTGGAGATAGCTTTGTTAAAATAAGCGTACGAGCTCAACAAGTAAACTATTGAAAAGTAAATTAAGCAGTGACAGCAGAGTACAGGACAATAAAAACTAAGGCCGAGAGTAAACATTCAAGGGGCCAAATATATACCTCCTCTCCTTCTATAAGAGAAGTAGGATGTCTATTATCAGTGAAACTGATGCTGGATGGTTGATAGATGATGAAATATTTATCAATAAATGGTATAAAGATTGTCATTTGACATCAGCTGGTGTCAGAAAAAACAATACAGTCCAAACTGAAGCCACTTTTAATATCAAACCAGATTTATTCAATATAAACAGCCCTTTTATGATGGAAAGCCAGTTTGAAAAGTTACAGAAAAATTACAGCTCTATGAATGAACTTAACAGTGCCACTGTATCCAGAAAGGTATGTAAGCTTGATGACAAAAAAACTGCAAATAAGATTACATATTTCTAGAATTAGGCCAAGATCTAATCCGGGCCGATTCTTAATCTTAATCCAAAAATGAACAATCAGGCTACTTTGAATTTTAATATAGGCCTACATGTAATACATTATTAGCTTTTAGACAGAATTTCTTATCTTTTTTTTTCTTTTTCTTCTACCATTAAACAAATATCTTGAAATGATACAGCTAATTTCTATTCATGTTGTAGAGAAAAAAGAAGAAAGTAGATATTGAAGAGGATGGCGCTTGTTCTGAGGTAAACTAATATTGCTATGGGTTAAATATACTCCTAGCATTGATCTGCACAAGTCCTGGTGCATGGAATAATGAGTTTAAGGGACAGAGGCGTTATTTTTGGAGGTTGATTGTAATGTTGAGTACATGTAAATAGTCTTTAGAAGTACTAGAAATGTATGAAAATCGCATAATTCCTTTAAAAATACTTCAAACAAGGAATTTTACTCACTGTTCCTACATAATATGTCATTTCTATATAGGCAGTGTATCTTAAATTTATGAGTCGTCATTATAACATTCAATCGCGGATATTTCTGAACACATGTGGATTTGAAGGCTCAAATTTCCACAATGAGCTTTGAACACTATAACTGATTGACCAAGCTAAAACAAATTCCTGTTTCTGAAACTAAAGTATGATTGGTGAAAAAAAAATAGCCTACCTGTTCCTTTAAGATGGTCGACCAAGATGAGAACCCTCACACACAATTGTTGCGAAAATGAATTCAATTTTCTTTATTTAAGGAACTTCCATCATTATTTATTACACTGTACTATTTCAGAAAATCAAAATGATTTCTAAGGCTTTTGAAGAATTGTTAGAAAAAGCTCAAGAATTGGATTATTTTACTAAAGATTTACTTAAAGATAATAATAGTAGAGCACGATTTCTAGCTGATACTCTGAAAGGGCCTGGTGACACTCTGCAGTGTAGAGTTGAACTTCATAAAGACAGTGACATCAATCCTACAGCTTTACAAATAGTAGATTCTGGAACAGGTATAGCATTGTACTTATCCTATGATAGGCCTAAATACTAAATACTAAATAAATAGTAAATTCTAGAACAGGTATACCATTGTACTTATCCTATGATAGGCCTAAATACTAAATACTAAATAAATAGTAGATTCTGGAACAGGTATACCATTGTACTTATCCTATGATAGGCCTAAATACTAAATACTAAATAAATAGTAGATTCTGGAACAGGTATACCATTGTACTTATCCTATGAGAGGCCTAAATACTAAATACTAAATAAATAGTAGATTCTGGAACAGGTATACCATTGTACTTATCCTATGATAGGCCTAAATACTAAATACTAAATAAATAGTAGATTTTGGAACAGGTATACCATTGTATTTATCCTATGATAGGCCTAAATACTAAATAAATAGTAGATTCTGGAACAGGTATACCATTGTACTTATCCTATGATAGGCCTAAATACTAAATACTAAATAAATAGTAGATTTTGGAACAGGTATACCATTGTGCTATGATAGGCCTAAATACTAAATTTTGCTGGTTGGTTTAATGCAATTGGACATTGCTCAAGTTCTGTTGGGGGGTAATAGGGAGGATATATAGGGGGAAGGGGGTAATAGATAGGATTTATAGGGGAAAGGTGGGTAATAGATAGGATTTATGCGGGAAAGGGGGTATTAGGTAGGATTTAGAGGGGGAAGGGGGTAATAGATAGGATTTATAGGGGCAAGGGGGTAATAGTAAGGATTTATAGGGTTAAGACGGTAATACAATTGATCAAGGATCCTGAAAGGGGTAATAGAAAGAAAAAGTTTAAAAAAATTTGGTCTACATAATTCATTTGTTGTCTTTGATATTGTATTTGATATTAAATCGACTGTTTGTGTACAGTAACAAATTGGTTTCCTACTTCAACTTTATTTCAATGATATTTATTTTAAGATGTAGAAGTTAACCAAATAACAGAATATACAAAAGATGACAGTACTGAAGTAAAGATATTTGGTGAAAAATATGTTATACCGCCTTATTGTAAATTCTTACTCTCGGACTGGAAACAATTATTACAATTACATACTGTAGGTACGTATTTAACCTTTCAACCCTAGCGGTTTAAGATGGGTTCCCTTATTTTCATTTATGAAAATGAAAATGCTAATACTTATATGAATAGAAAGTTGAGGTGTTCTAATGACTTGGAAAAATACCAGTTTGTCTCACGTGTCCATAATTAATTCATAATTAGCTCAATTAGAAGAGAATTACCAGCAGAATTCCAAAGAGTGACCGATCAAGAAGGGTCAAAAAGTCTTTTTTTGTTTATCCAGACTGGATATAGCCTAAATGGGCATTTATAATTGGTTAAAAATTGGTGATACAAAAAGAACATAATGATATGATTAAGAATACATGATAATTCATTACAAACACCAATTAATCAAGTAGTTTGGTTAATTTGACTCTAAAAAAATAAGGAAACCCACCTTAACCAGCCATATAATTCTAAATATATGCAATATATTCTCAAGCAACTATTAAAACCACTGTTACCAACTGACATCACACTGTAAATATCATCGGTCAAGGTGTTTTATCTCATTTACACTCAGTGTTCAAAGGGTTAAAAGGGATAACTTCAATTTTTTTAGTTGATAAGCATCAGTTACAATATAAAAATAAGGACAGGGAACTGGAAATCTGAAAATCATAGGGTCTGAAGCCTATAAACAGCTGAAATTGGGTTTGAATCCATCAAATGTACAGGCCTAGGGGGGTACAAATACTTCATTGAGAAATTGACATAGGTGGTCTGGATAATCTATATAGTTTCTTCTATTAACTTTCATTTCGATTTAGGTTTTTTCAAGAATAATGCTTCAGTTAACTCCAATGCGTTGAAAATGATCAAAATTTCTTTCTTCGTCAGATGCTAACAAATATGATCTAATAGTAATTGATCCACCATGGAAAAACAAATCAGTGAAGAGAAAAAAGAGGTAATTTGCCTTATTCTCAAGAAATATAACCTATCCTCTGCAAATACCTCTTTACAATCCCTTTAACAACCATGCTCTTTTGCAATGGTGGCGCCAATGGGGGTACAGGGGGGTCCAAAGTGGTTTGCACCCCCAATTGTACCCCCATTTACATGTGTAATCTACCGATGATGTCGGGTTTCTATGTTGTCAGTGGGCCACTTTATTTCAATAAATCTTAATGTCGACCTTTTATCTCCCAACATATGTGTCAGAATGCACAAAATCAAACCATTTTTTCTAAAATTTTGTGAGAGAACCCTCCATGACACTTTATAAGAGGCTTGCGACTATGACACCACTACAGAGTAGCCAAAATTTGAATTCAGCCTCAGCAGTTGTCCCCCCCCCCCCCCCCCCCCATCTGCCCCCTATTTGTACCCCAGTCTTAGAAGGCTGGCGCCGCCATTGCTCTTTTGTGTTTGTGGATTGAGTTGGCACACAGAACCAAAATGTCAAAGTACAATGGCCAGTTCAGAGTTGCCTCCCTTGCATGTGACTCTCTAACCCTTTGAAATAAAATTGTTCATGTCGTAAGAACATTTAGGCAAATGTGTGTTTTTCAGCTATGATACACTTTGGGAGGACACTTTACTTGATTTACCAGTGACTAAACTAGTCAATCCAGGTTGTTTAATTGTAATATGGGTGACCAATAAAACAAGACTACATGCATTTATTGAAAATACCCTGGTTGAAAAATGGCAACTACAGCAATGTGTACAGTGGCATTGGTTGAAGGTAAAGCTTTGTTTTGAAACTAGATAACTCTATCATCAAAAAAACTGTCCATGTTTTCGCATTTCTTTTATTTTGATTTATTTTTAAGAAAATTTTTTAATCGCAATATTTTCAATATTTACTAACAGGGGCAATAAGTCTTTAACTTTGAATTGAAACCAAGTTTGTAAATCATGAAAATCTGAAAGAGTGCCCCAGTGGAGAAACAGAGGGGGCATTTTTAGTTTGTAATCGCCTACTTCAATTTTTTAAAACTTTGAAAACTTGACCATAATGTACTAAATCAACTCATTATTTGCCATGGAGCTTCTGTATTTGGAATCTAAGAACCGAAAGTTATCTCCCATTAAGTTCATCCGTGCCTTGTTTGAACCCCTGGTGTCAGAAAGCTGGTGCCACCTCTGCACAACCTTGAGTTGTATAACATTGTTGTACTAATGCAAGAATAGAAGTTTATATTATTTATATTGTAGATAACAAGAGGTGGTGAACTGATCTGTGATATTAATAGTAATAAAAAACCATTTGAAACATTATTTATAGGAAGATATGACAATAGTCTTACTAATCAATACTCTACGGTACCAAATCATAGGACTATTATTAGTATACCGTGCAGTCTACATTCTAAAAAACCTTCTTTAGCAGGTAGTTTTATTACTAATGTATTGAATTTGACTAATAATGAAGTACATTCTCCTAACATTGACGTGGTAACATGCTTGATGGTTTGAGAAATTCTAATCCTGTCTGCAGACTCTGATGATTCTGATGGCAAGAGAAATGTGCTATTTTCACCTTTTGAGGTGCAGAACTTCATATGCCCTTTGTCAAACTTCATATGCCCTCATTTTGTCAAACTTGAGAAAAAAAATAGATTAATACCATCCATTGAATGATGTTAAACCTTCTAAGGATAAATTTCTATTCAGTTTTGGCCATTTGCATCTGCCATAATTTGCCTCTGAGCCTCTTTTAAATGACAATCAAAGGCATTTATCTGTCAAGACCTGTAGTTTGGGTTGGGGTTTTTGGAGTAGAGTATTTGATAACTTTGGGTCTTTTTCTCAGAAATTCTCAAACCATATTTACCAGAGAAGCCTGAATGTCTGGAACTATTTGCTAGAAATCTACAGTCTAACTGGACTAGCTGGGGCAATGAAGTAAGAAAACTTTTCTTTTTTTGTGGGAACCCAATTTGAATATTGAACTTAATAATAATTTCCACTAAAGCATTTCATGGATGTATTGATGAATCATGATTCTATCGTTTCTATTATATATGGATGTATTGATGAATCATGATTCTATCGTTTCTATTATATATGGATGTATTGATGCATCATGATTCTATCATTTCTATTATATATGGATGTATTGATGAATCATGATTCTATCATTTCTATTATATATGGATGTATTGATGAATCATGATTTTATCATTTCTATTATATATGGATGTATTGATGAATCATGATTCTATCATTTCTATTATATATGGATGTATTGATGAATCATGATTCTATCATTTCTATTATAATTATATGGATGTATTGATGAATCATATATGGATGTATTGATGAATCATGATTCTATCATTTCTATTATATATGGATGTATTGATGAATCATGATTCTATCATTTCTATTATATATGGATGTATTGATGAATCATGATTCTATCATTTCTATTATATATGGATGTATTGATGAATCATGATTCTATCATTTCTATTATATATGGATGTATTGATGAATCATGATTCTATCATTTCTATTATATATGGATGTATTGATGAATCATGATTCTATCATTTCTATTATATATGGATGTATTGCATTGGATAAAAAAAATAATACTGATGTATGGGCACAAATGGTACATTCAAATTTAAATGAAAAAGATTAAGCAAATATTTGTAAAAAAAAATAATTTATAAATTCAAGAATTGAGAACATATTTTTTTACAACTCTTTTATGGTCAATGATTTGGGAACATTATAAGATTAGATTTTAGAAAAAATTCTTTGTTTTTTCAGGTTTTGAAGCATCAACATTTGGAATTTTTTGATGTAACTTGAAATTCTATTCCAATTAGTATGCTGTTGTAGATTTATATAATTATGATAAAACATCAAAGCTTGTCTTTCCAGCTTTTCAGAAATTGTAAAAGTCATTTATTCATAATGAAATTGAATTTACAAGGTAAAACTACTGCAAATGATGGGTTCCCTGTTAGAATATGCTAATACTTATATGAATAGAAAGTAGAGGTGATCTAATGACTTGGAATAGTATCAGTTTGTCTCACATGTCCATAATTAATTCATAATTAGTTAAATTAGAAGAAAATTACCAGCAGAATTCTATTGAGTGACCGATCAAGAAAGGTCTTTTTTTTTGTTTACCCCGACTGTACATACATGGACATTTATGATTGGTTAAAACTCTTAATATTATGCAATAAGAACATAATGATATGATTAAGAATACAAACACCGATTAATCAAATAGTTTGCTTAATTTGACACAAACAAATAAGGAAACCCATCTTTAAGCAAAGCAGGAAACTTTTATAGAAGAAATAATGTTGCACCAAAAGCTTGATCTTAGGATACAGATTTGCAGTGTAGATAATGAGTTTCATCCCCTTGTACAGCTCAAGATTGTGGGACTGTGCCTTGATGACTATGGGAGCCTTGTGGCTTAGTGAATTAGACACTTGCTCATTAACAGGAGGGGTCAGGGTTCAGTCGGTGGAAATAATTATTTCAGATTTTTCAACCTGGTTTTCCTTTGTCAGTGATGCAGACTGGAGGGGCTGACATGTACAACAGATTCCTCAACAGTTCGAAAAAGAGTATGCTAATACGGCTGTTCTGGCTAAATTTCCCACATTGCACACTGCATGGTGTTGCACGTCTTCTTTAGTCCAATTAGGTGCAGAAGAGTAAAACTTCATTCATTTCAATTTTTTTTATCATTGACTGTCTATGCATATATTTGTTGTTCTAAGAAATAAACTATTGAAATATTGAAGCTATGATTTATTTTAAAGATAGCTTGCCCTACAAGATAACATACATCATCAGTAAAGTAAAATTTTCATTGACCAAGTTCTAAAACTTTCACTTTGTAAGAGATCTCATCAACTTTCAATTTCATCAACTTTCACTTTGTACGAGATCTCATCAACTTGAGATCTCATCAACTTTCAATTTCATCAACTATCACTTTGTAAGAGATCTCATCAACTCTCAATTTCATCAAATTTCACTTTGTAAGAGTTCTCATCAACTTTCATTTTCTAACAGATATTACTAACTTTCACTTTGTAAGAGATCTCATTTACTTTCAATTTCATCAACTTTCACTTTGTAAGAGATCTCATTTACTTTCATTTTCTAACAGATCCCATCAACATTCACTTTGTACGAGATCTTATCAACATTCAGTTTGTACGAGATCTCATCAACTTTTACTTTGTAAGAGATCTCATTTACTTTCATTTTCTAACAGTTATTACTAACTTTTACTTTGTAAGAGATCTCATCAACTTTCATTTTCTAACAGTTATTACTAACTTTTACTTTGTAAGAGATCTCATTTACTTTCAATCTCATCAACATTCACTTTGTACCAATCTCATCAACTTTTACTTTGTAAAAGAATAGAGACCTCATCAACTTTCACTTTGTAAGAGATCTCACCGACTTTCACAAGAGATCTCATCAATATATAACATTTAGATGAAAAATCGAGCTTTTATCTGCATATTGTTGAAAAGGTCGTAAATTAAATTTTTTCAAGCATGTTTAAATGATTAAAATATCAACTCTCTAAATTTTCTTGTATCCATTTCAAATAGGCATTTTGTTACAAAGAAAATATTTCAAAATACAATTCTAATGATTTGTGTAATCCAGAAATGACCCTAGCTCTTCTGTAGATCTGTATTCTGTTCCACCCTGAACTGTACCCAAAGACTACGAATAATTTATTATTTTCTTGAACCATGTAATTTGTTTCGCCGTCATTGCTCCAGTAGTTATCCTTGTGTAAAAATTGTGATTTCTTTATTGCACTTTGTTTTAAAATTTTGAGAGTAAATTGGAAACTTTTTTATTCCATACAGCTTCCGGTTGTATAAAACAACAATAGCTATCGTTGTTCATCCATAATATATTTAAAAATATTCCCATTTGATAACTTTAGGAACTTGCATTGCTTTGTAACTTTGTTTTTGTAAGGTTGATTATTTCCTATTGGCTTTCTTTATCTCGGGGAGCTTACGCAATTTTGAAGCTTTCGTTTCTTTTACAACCACTGGTACTTGCTTTTTGCATACTTTGGCAAGAGATGCTTTGAATGTTTTGGTTGGTGTCCGTGATCTCTGTACGGTCACTAGTGATTCTTCACTTGCGACGTCTCTTGACTTCACGCGCTTCCCTTGAGAATTGGCTTTCCTTTCTTCTTCCTCCATTTTCTTTTGACGCCGGAGCTTTGAGGCTTTAGTTTCACGGACGGCAAACACTGGTGGTGGAATGGGGTTCCCGGTCGGATAATCTTCCGGTGAAAGGACAAAAGAAAGGTCAAGCCTCGGCACAAAATCTGGACGTGGTGGCTCATCTTCTTTTGGCGTTAGTGGAGGCGATTCAGAAGAAGTTCGTGAACTGTATTGAGGAGAAAAAGACCTCTGTGGAGGGACCACAATTGCTCTTGCTGGAGGGTTTGTCGGAGCGTTCACTGGCGGCAACACAATTGCTCTTGCTGGAGGGTTTGTCGGAGCGTTCACTGGCGGCAACACAATTGCTCTTGCTGGAGGGTTTGTCGGAGTGTTCACTGGCGGCAACACAATTGCTCTCGCTGGAGGGTTTGTCGGAGCGTTCACTGGCGGCAACACAATTGCTCTTGTTGGAGGGTTTGTCGGAGCCTTCACTGTTGGCAACACCTTCTTAGTTACTACTGGTTGCTCGTTTTGTATCTGTTTTCTTAAGTTAGAGGCTTTAGTTTCGCGAACTATTACTTGCCTCTTTGGTTGACTTGGTGCCTTAGAAGCTTTTGGAGGTACCAGAACATGTTTTGGCTTAATCTTACTATGGGCAGTGTTATTATTGTCTTTCTGGACCAATGGTGTACTTTCAGACAAGGAGCCCTCATTTCGAAGTTTGGCTAAAATTCTGAAGTCGTTGCCTGTTACATTTCTCTCTGCAAATGCTTTCATTTGAAAAGATAAAATGGACTTAATTTGTTGCAAATCGTTTTCCTTCTCATCTTTCCGTCTTTCCATTTCTGATTTCCTCATGTCTGCATGAGATCTATTTTCCCGAACAGAACCCCCTATAGGAGGCAATGGCATGGGTCCAAATGACACAGGAGAAGCCTGGACTCGAAAGGTGACATCATTCGATGTTGGTTCTGGACTACCTATGGCATTGGTCATCTCTGTCAGCAGATCCAATCTCTGTATTACTGACATTTGTATCTGAAATGAGAATAAGATATTTGTGAAATTTATGTCAACAAGGTACCGATGTATAAAAAATAGCCTACTGTTGGGATGACTCAAAACATCTTTCTGGTAATGTCTTAAATTTGATATCAAATGTACTATAAAAACACGAAAGAATACAAATGATTATTGAAAATGTCCAAGCTTTGCTCTGTTAAGTAACTACAGCTGATAAATATTTCTAAAAAATTACCTGGGCAGCCGAGGAAGCAACAGAAAGACCTCTCTCGTGATCTTCAGTCTTGTTAAATGCTGTCTGCCTGGTCAAGATTTCAGATTCTGCTTTCCCTGGTGATACTTCAATGGATGTAGCTCGCTCTGATGACAGATTGAGAGATGTGGATCTGCCAGGTGATATGCCAGGTGACTCTGTTTGTACTCTTGAAATGTCAAAAGTTTTTGCTTGTCCAGGTGACTGATGAAGAGATGCAGTTCGTCCTGGTGACAAATCAAGTAATGTTGATCTTCTTAGTGTCTTGTCAATGGATTCTGATTGTCCTGATGTCAGGTAAAACGAGGAATCTTGTCCCGGTGACTCTTGAACATCTCGTCCCGATGACATGTGGAGAGATGATGATCTTCCCGATGATATATGAAGGATTGCATCTCGCCCTGTTGACAGGTGGAGAGATGATGATCCTCCAGGTGACATATCGCGAGTTGAATCTTGTTCCGGTGACAGGTAGAGCGATAAAGATCTTCCCGGTGACATATGACGGATTGCATTTTGTCCTGATGGCAGGTGAAGATATGTTGATCTTCCAGGTGACATTGCATTTGCAAAGGTTGCATCTTGACCTGCTGACATGTAGAGAGATGATCTTTCGGGTGACATATTACAAGTTGCATCTCGTCCTGGTGACAGATGGAGAGATGTTGACCTTACGGGTGACATGTCAAAGGTTGCATCTCGTCTTGGTGACAGGTAATAAGATGTTGATCTTAAAGGTGACATTTCAAGTGTGTCATCGCGTCCTGGTGACAAGTAGAGAGATGTTGTTCCTCGAGGTGACATTTCAAGGGTTGCATCTCGTGCCGGTGAACGTCTTACAGATGCTGCTCTTCTTGATGACAGATAAAGAGAAGCTGCCTGTCCTGACAACACAGGTGTCCGTCCCAACAGATCCGCAGAAGCTGCCCGTCGCGATGAAACATCTGCAGAAGCTGCCCGTCGCGATGAAACATCTGCAGAAGCTGTCCATCGTGATGACAGATCCGCAGAAGCTACCCGTCGTGATGACAGATCTCCGAAAGCCGCATGTCGTGATGACATTCCAGTAGATGTCCGATCTGGCAATATCTCGACAGATGCAGCAGATAGAGGCGATGGTTGTTTTAAAGACTTCTCTGCTCTTTCTGGTAAATACTCAATATGTGGAGCTTGATCAGGTGATGGTGCAGAAGATGAAGCCGCACGCCCAGCTTCAGAATCAGCATACGCTAACGCGTCAGCTAATTTAGAGAGACACACGCGTGAGCTTTTCGGGGTAGGCGGATTTGAATCCATATTGGTAGAACCTAGAAAAAAGTATACATACAAAATAATTACCAAATATAGACATTTATTTTCATTGTCGATGGAAAAAATCGAATTTGATTGTTTGATACTTTAGAATACTTAACATTGGAAGTTTATCAGAAAACAAACTTACCTGAAGATTTCACTCCAAATAATCGAATTCTTCAAAAACTGTTTAAAATATATCAAACTTTTGCTGAAAACTGTCTTGTTCACAAGACGAAGCTAAGGAACTGATACCAAGCCACTATGACGTCATAATGCCTTTACACCGACGATTATTATTCGGTTATTTCCGTAACGTTACGGAAACTATATCAGTAATCCGTAAAGTTGGCGAAACAATACTATATAGAATAAATAAATTCGTATCTATCATTGAGCTAAAGAAGCGATCTTATACTTCGTCGATTGAAGAGAGCTGATTACTGCTGACAATCAGACATTAAGGCAGCTAGTTATGAAATGGGTCGAATTGTATTGTAGACGCAAAAGCAAAGTAGGGTCTACCGGTGGTCTTACTCTGGCCATGAGGTCAACAACAAGAAACAGGTTGATGTACAGCGACAAGTTCCAATCTAAGGACTGTACAACAATGATACACATGGTTGCCCGAATTTCTAACCTAATTATTAGATTTTTGCCCAAAAACCTGCTTTTGGGTCTGCGAGCGCCACTGTCTCTGATAAGGGGGCGATATGTTCCTAAATTTCAACCGACAAGGCTAGCTATGTCTGAAAACACACCGTTCTTACACAACTTACACATGTGAAGTCCATTGAATTCGGAACTTGGTAAATTCAACCAGCGACCAGTGAGCTAGACTGTCTAATTGTATAATTATTGAAAGGTACATTTTGTGAAAGCTCAAAATGATATCAGTAAATATCTCCGGGTTTACATGTAAAGGGTTATAATATATCTATACATATTCCGTTGGAATAAAATAAATGCAATGTAAAATTTCACAAATTCATCACAAGGTATAGTGTTATTACTGAGTATTTCTAAGACTATCGGAGCTGTTATTGCTATACACTGTACAAATCGACTAACCGACCAATGTGTGAAGACAAAGTAATATAACACCTACCTCTAAACTATTACATACACAACATAAATATTCAAAATCAAACATTTTAGGTTTCTGTGGTCTTAGTTCACAACACTGTTATTTTCATATTATTTTTCAATTGCTGTCTTTCATGCATAGTTATCCACGTTTCGATCGTTCGATTTAATATATAGTAGATTTGAATTTCTTTCTTGTATCAAACTTAAGACTATTAAGGAGAAATAGGCTACATATTTTAGCACGGGCATTTCATGTTAATTGGTTTCTCTTCTCTAGCTTTCAAAGGGGGGCGCTTTATAATCATAGGCGTGGCTCTGCTGTGATTGACATATCCAGTTCAATCCTTAGTACGTGCTTAGTTTATAGTTTATGTGGACATTTTTGAATGGATTCTTGACTCATGTATAATACCGTAACGTGTTAGTATGCTTTGGCCATTTTCCCAATTAGCTTGATGTATGTTTTTCGTAAAGTTTGATTGAAATGCAATTATCTTATCGTACGATGAGATAACGTTTTCGGTAACCCCCGAAGAGATCTAAAATACACTCATTATCATGTTCCTTTATCAACGGTACAATATTACCCATATCTAGATTTGGATTATAATATCCTACCGTTGCTAACGGAACATAATTCAATATTAGACCTCCTCCTAGATTTTGTTGGCCATCACCTTGTTATCATGCAATTACAGACCATACGTCAAAAAGTATCTTCAGATAAATTTTCAGAAAGTGTGATCCCTTTTCATAGTTGGCTCTTTGGCTGAAAAACCAAAAGGGGGTAAAGCATTTTAAGCATGCAAGATTGCTTTCACTGACAGGATAGACAGGCAGTCTATCTGAACTTTTGTACATGTTTTACCCAAATTTTCAATGTTTTTTTCATTTCAAATGTCCTATCCTGTACTAACAGAAAATCCAGCAATAAGAAATAGGCTACATAGCAATTTTCAATTTTCTACTCAAATGGAGCCAAATAGTAATATAGATTAAAAGTTGGGAGATAATAAAATAAAGCATAAAGGTAGAAGAAAATGCAAAAAGGAGAAAAAAAGACAGAAAAAACAGATTTTTTCCCACATCCATATATATATTTAATACCACACAAGAACATACAAAGTATTAGTTAATAGAAATAGTAACTTGTCCTATACAAAGTCTAAAGAAACCTACTCAAGACAGACAGAAAACTAAACTAAGAAAATAATAATAATAATAGTTGAAAGTCTAGAAAGTGCCATAGGGAAGATCAGAGTTTCAAAGTTTTAGTTTAAGACAGAAATATCAGGTAGATTTCTGGATAATCTATTTGTCATTTTCAAAACAATCCAATTTGCTGTGTCAAATCTTTTAACAAGCCTTTTCTAATATCAATATCATTTTTGATTCTTAGCAAACTCATGGTCTCAAAAATGACAAATTAAGATTCCAAAAATGTTTCATGTTCAAAGTTTTGTTGCAATTCTTTGCATCATGCATGAACCAAGCGATTTTTTTTTACAAAACAATTTTTAATATCTTTAGATTGCGCAATACATCATTTTAGTTTATAGTTACAATAAATTTGTCTAAATGTTTCATTCTAAAGGTATTTCACCCTTTTTTTAGAAGTAAATAACATTGAAATCTTTCAAAATTGAAGAGATTTCAAATATATATTTAATAAATAAAAAAGCAAAACTGTAAAGATAAAAACTTTTATAACAGGTTGTGGTCTTGTTCCCTTTTGATAGGCACGTAAAAAACTTGCGTAAAAAACACTGGCAAGTTCAGATCTTAATAATTTCCTCATATGACAATGGGAATTCCCTATATTATACAATATACATAATATATAATAACAACAAAAAATATAAAGGCAATAAATTGATGAATGTAATAATGAATATCTTTTCTTATCCAAAAGGCATAGTCAACTGTGTACAAGTTACTTTCAAAATAAAATCCCATTCAGCCAAAATACTATCACAAAAATTTGCAGCACACAAGCAAATGATTTTAGCATGCAACTTTTCAAGCCAAAATTATGGACTGTTATAGACATAAATAACAGATATATATCTGGAGATGTTTGCTGAATTGGTTGCCTATGCAACATCTAGCCAAAATTATGGACTGTCATAGAAATTTACACCATAGATATTCAAGATATTAGCATAATTGGTTGCACATGCAACTCATCCAGCCAAAATATTCTACTGATAAGAAATTTAGACTATAGATATTTGAAATTTTGGCATTAACAGTTTTTACTTTAAATAATGTACAATACTTGATGGATATATGCCATGGTTGGATATCATTGAAATTCTGTGATCCAGAATGAATATTTTGTAATAAACCATAAAACAAAACATGGATTTCGTGATCAAAAATAATAAATGACATTTTGTGAACATCTATTCAAAAGAGAATAACAATAATAATAAGACCACTATTGGTGAATGGTAACGAGTGGATGATTTTAGTCATTACGTAGGTCTCCTGGATTTCACAAAAAAAAAAAAAACAAACACCTTCAATCCATGCGGTTAACGAAAACGAGTGAAGACATGAATACATCAAGTGAAAGGGAAGAAGGGATGTAGGGAGAATTTAAAACTAGTTTTTTTAGACTACAATATATAACAATAAGAAGATTATAATGATTAATAATTAGAAATTGAACACTTAATAAGTTCCGTCAATGGATTCTATACGGTCTCCATTGTTAACAGCCCAAAAACACTGAACATTACTTTATACAATCTATATTTAGTAATCAAGCAGTATAAACGTATGAACATAGCAAAAAAAAAAGGTCCCATAATATCTGTAATCAAAATAGATATTTTCAATGAATAACAATTTTTTTTTTTCTAGTATTTTGTAACTTTTTGTTATAAGGCCATGAAGAAAATGGAATGCTGCACTTGAAATATAAATTTTACACAAGAAAATCAACATGATGCAGCCATTTCCATAGCAACAATTAACAACAATTGAAATGATGATACTTAGAGATACCTATGACCTTGACCTTGCCAGTTGACAAAATTTTGGAGTTCAAAATTTACCTAAGTGTAGCTTCATTTGTGAGACTTGATAGCACAGCTTCAATGAATGTATTCTTCCCATGAGCACGACTTCAATTGCTCTTACGTATGGATGTTTGATTTGCCGTGCTTGGTGCAATTGGACCATAGGTACCTCTAATATATATGATGCTATGGTAATCCAATGTGGTAGTTTTGGGTTAATGAAGGACACTAGTATTTCCCAATAATCAGACCTAGCACTTTCCATCATCATTATCAAATTTTAATATAAAAAAATTACTTTTTTAACATTTAAAAAAAAATTGCAAAAATATATATTCAAACCTTATATAATATAATTAAAAAGTTACTTTAACACCAAATGCAAAAATAGAATTACAAAAATCATAGAACTACCATCTACCATCAACACACTAAATTTCATTCTTTTTAGAACTATTATTATTCTTGAAATGTAGGTATCATTTTATACAATTTGGGATTCTATTGAGGCAATTTAAACCTTCATAGATAATAACACTTTTCCAACAGTGTTGTATATGAATACCATATAAGATCCTAATGTGCTAGTATATTGGAGTTTCCCCCCCAAAAATCCAACAAAGCTAATCATGCCACGCTCATAACTTAGGGCAACTAACTTTTTCAAAAGTTTTTCCTACTCAAATTCACAAGCCAGATGAAATAGAATAACATTATCACAAATGGATTTCCTTTTTGTACATTTTATACGAATATCATAAAATGCTAAGTTAAAAATTATGCTTGAGAAAAAATGATAATATAAATATATATATATAAGAGTCCTCTTGACCATTTGAAATTTGAAACAAGATGAAATGGTTCAGACATAGATGATGAGGTATTATTCACTAAAACTTAGCATTCTAGATAGACATAGAATATAGTATTATATACATAACATTATAATGGTACTTCTTATACATAACAGTTCCAGACATATTACTCTATAAAACCTACTTATTCTGAGCTATTACTCTGTGCTCACATTCTCAATTCTCACTCTTTCTCCTGAGCTATTACTCTGGGCTGTTATTCTTTTTTCTGAGCTATAACTTTGGGTTGTTATTCTTTACTCTGGGCTGTTATTCTTTATTCTGAGCTATTACTCTGGACTGTTATTCTTTATTTTAGCTTTAACTCTATGCTCATATTCTTTACTCTGAGCTTTAACTCTGTGCTCATATTTCTTTACTATGAGCTTTAACTCTGTGCTCATATTTCTTTACTCTGAGCTTTAACTCTGTGCTCATATTTCTTTATTCTGAGCTATAACTCTGTGCTCATATTTCTTCATTCTAAACTATAACTCTGGACTAATATTCTTTACTCTGGGCTGTTATTCTTTTTTCTGAGCTATAACTCTGGGCTCATATTCTTTACTCTGAGCAGTTATTCTTTTTTCTGAGCTATAACTCTGGGCTCATATTCTTTACTCTGAGCTGTTATTCTTTTTTCTGAGCTATAACTCTGGGCTCATATTATTTACTCTGAGCTGTTATTCTTTTTTCTGAGCTATAACTCTGGGTCGATATTCTTTATTCTGAGCCTTAACTCTGTGCTCATATTCTTGACTTATTACAGCTGTGACTCTGTTCTCTACCCAAAAATATCTGATACAGTATTAAGATGAACTGTTATGTATAAGAATGTACACAATTGGACATATACCAGACAAAAAAAACTTCCCAGTAAATCTTGACAAACAAATACTAAGGCATATTCAACTAACTAATACCACCCAATATCTTGGCCTATGCACATCTGTGCTGTGTAGAAATTTAGTACGATGCAAAAAATTGCAAACCAAATGGAAAGGATCTCATATATTTGTCAACTGTTCAAAGCTTCTTATATCAGATTTCTATGACTCTGTAATGCACTATAAGAGATCATGCTGCCTCATATATATCTGTAAGCAATTTAAGGCAATCTAGTTTTACTGAACACAATTTCTAAATGAAACACAATAATTTGAAATATGGCCAAAGTCTGATTTAGGTTTGAATCTGGAATCATTTCTGACTTGATAACCTGGCTCCATTGATCTCAATCAAAAAAACTACCAGACATTTTTTAGCCCATGTCAGACATGTCTAGCAAATCCATCAAAACCAACAGATCTTTCCTCCTTCCAAATTCCATGAAAGATCTAACCTAAATCAAACCCAACCCAACCAAAAGATCAGCTTTATAAAAATCGAGGAGAAAATAAAGAAAAAACTATCCCATCAATATTTCTCGATACCCTGTATTCAAATCAAAAAGCTAACATAAAATAAACATTCTAGCAAATCAAAACAAAAATCAACTGTCATGTAAAAAAATGAATACAAATATTTATGCTATTTTCTGTATAATTAACATAAACAAAAATACAATAAAGGTTACTTCTCTTAATCATAAATCAAGGCTGACACCCGTGAACACCATCAAATTTTATTCAATTCCATCAAAATAATATAAATTTCCATTTAATTTAACAAAATTTCTCTTCTGTTTTTTTTATTGGCGGCAAGATTATAAGCTGCTTTTCAACAATTTGTAAGAAAGGCACTTGGACCTGTGACAGCAGTCAAATTGAAAGTAAGATTTTCTATAGCGGATTATAAAATAAAGAATAATAATAATAATAATAATTGTTGTAGTTGTGTTGATGTTGGCAGCCAAGTCATGTTAAATGTCTAAACCATGGTTTGTTTGCTGTTGTTTTGTTGTACTATTAAATAGTCGATTTGGAGAATGAAACTCTCAGATGACTATTTTCACCCAATTGATAATTATGTGCAGCCTGAAAGTAACAAAAAGATAAGTGAGGATTTGGAGTTTGACCCTAATAGGCATAATAATATCCATCTAATATTTTGCAGCAGGTGAATGAGAAAATGGAAATCTTTTCCCCAAATATTTTTTTTTATTAAATTTAAGTGAATACAACTACTTATATTGGACTATTAACTGTTTTAAGATGATATCTAAAGCACTTTTCATTCGAAATTTTTTGAATATCTTGATACTCCTCTACGAATGATATTCCAAAAGGTAATCTGGTTTGTTTAGAGCCCATCATTTGTTTGCCTTCGGGTGAAATTTGTTTGCCCTCTTGTGACATTTGTTTGCCCTCCTGTAACATTTGTTTGCTCTCTTGCAAAATAAGTTTGCTCTCTTATGACATTAGTTTTCTCTCTTGTGACATCAGTTTTCTCTCTTGTGACATTAGTTTGCTCTCTTATGACATTAGTTTTCTTCTCTTGAGACATAAGTTTGCTCTCTTGTGACATTAGTTTTCTCTCTTGTGACATTAGTTTGCTCTCTTGTGACATTAGTTTTCTCTCTTGTGACATTAGTTTGATCTCTTGTGACATCAGTTTGTCCTCTTGTGTCAGGTTTGTATTAGTCAATATCTTTGATACAGAACGAAAATTGTTTCACTGTCTATTTTCCTTTCCAAAACTCTATTTGGCATCAGTAATTCTAACAATTCAAACTTACAATTAATGCATTAACAGCCTCATCTAAGGTTGACATCTGTATCAGAGCCATTTTTCTATCTTTCCTGAAAATGTATACAAAATTTGTTAAATTTTCCATAAGATAAAAATTATTTCAATTCTTATCCCGTAATCAAGTTATTACGAATATTGTCGTATTCAGCTTATTAACAGTGCCGTAACTGTATCAAGGCAAATGAGATAATTGCTTTATGAGGAATTTGACAAAAAAATAAAAAGAAATTTAGTTAATTTCTATTAAAAATATAAATTTGATATCCATTAAATGTATCATTTATTAGATATATATGGTAAAGGTGGTCAGATTTTTGCCTCATAAAAAAAAAAACCTAATTACGGCCTTACATGATGCAAGTATTTATCAGCATCTCATTCCAATCTGTTTAATATTTGATGACATCTTTTGGCCTATCACAAGTAAGAGATAGATCATTTAATATTTAGTATTTATAAGTAATTTTTACAAATCAGCTTTACTTACGGGAAAAATTTGAAGGCTTTGACAGTTCCCTGTTTAGCAAACAATTCAGTAATTTCTTCTTCAGAAACATTTGGTCTGTAAAAAAAAATTGAAATTAATTGCTGAGATTTATTTGCAGATGATAGATCACATGGTGAAGTCAAATTTAATTCTGGATCACCTGATGCCACTTTGCACCACACTTTTTGTACTGAACACACATGGAAAGTAGATTTGTTTGGTTTTTTTTTGTATACGATATTCATCTTTCAATTACTGTTTGTTCAATGTTCACCACAAAAATTGCAGATTAACCAAAACAAATTAAGATAAAGTACTTACGGAATGTTAGATAAATGGAGAACACTTGAAGGAGGAAATATATTCTGACAATTTTTGGAACCAGGTCTTTTAAATCTATGTAATGGTGATGTGGTAAAATCTTTTGTTAAACCAGCATCCTGAAAAAACAGATTGAATTCAACTCAAAGAGTCAGAAGAAACTTTGAACAATGCCATACCATAATATGTTTCTATTGAAGGAAGAACTGTTCCCAGCCTGCCAAATGTAAATTTAGATAAGGAGTTCAAGTGCCATGACATGGCCCTCCCTTAATGATACACAAATCTCCAAAATATCACAGTCAATAATATGCACCACTTTTTGACAAAAAAATAAACAAGTTGGCATAACACAGACACCATAATATTGAGTGGTGATATTGAAAATTCCTCAACTCAACCAACATGTAACTTAAATAAATTATTATTCCTTTAAAAACCTACCGGTTGACCTTCTTTAGGCATCTGTACCAATGAATGTTTTGATTGTGCAACTCTAATTGGTTTACCCCAAACTTTCACTTTATCAAGGTATGTGATAGCTGGAAAAATAAGAACAGAATTATAACAGTTCATACAATCACTCTGTTTTCATAATAATGTGTGGTCATGTTTATACTTTGATCAACACAAAGACATTCTAACAATAACAGTGCTAGTTTGAAGCTGATATTTGAATGCATATGGAAATAATCGGTAAAATAGGATCTGCTAGCAAATATACAAATACAATAGCTTACAGTATAATTGCCAATATAGCTTGTATGATGCATATCCCCTTCCTAATCTCCATTAAATTGAGAGAACTCATTTACTGGTAAATAATGTGCATCCCTTATTTGACAAGGCAGAGTTGGCATATCATTGACACCATTTCATTTCTGCAGATTATCAATTTCTTCACAACAATGAAGATAATTTGAACTTACCAAGTTGTGCTTGATGAGGATCAGCCATCTGAATCAAGGCATTGTCTTTCTTGTTGAACAATATTTTTACGCGGTGCACGTCACCATACACGCCTAGAATACAGTCAATAAGGTTAACGAGTTGTATTAATTAGGTTGGATTATCAAGGCTGAACCTTGAAACCCAAGCACGAAGCAAAGCAAAAAAACAGAGAAATAGGAGAGAACCGACCATTTGAAACTATTGTCAGAACATTGAATAAGATTGATCTAATCAAGCCAAGACTAATTATATACAAAAAAAAAAAAAAAAAAAACAGCTCTAACTAATTGGCAAGTAAGAGTGTAACAAGAACTTGGCTCTAATAATTTGTTAGTGTAATAGACAGAACCATCATGGAAGACAATAAAAACCTAGCACACAGATTTTTCTTCTCAATTTTGTAATCTCATCAACAATGTTTCAATATGATCATCTCTCCATTCTATTTTATTTAATTGAATTTAATCATTGAATTATTTAATCATTACTGGCACCATTTAAATATAATCATTTGAAAATTTGAAATTGATTATTTATTATAATTAATTGCTTCTGGTGCTATGTTCTACATTAGAAATGGAAATAGAGTGCTTAACAACGTACCAAAGAGGGTAAAAAGAGCGTCGGGCGTGACCATCTAGAATATCAGAGCGTACAGGTATAGCAGAGCGGAGAGAAGACGAGGTCAGTGGCCGAGCAACAATAGAGAATCCACATGAGGCACCAGCATAAGTGGTAGGAACGGGAAAAAAAAGAAAAAAAAATGGGAAAAATTATTAGAGTGATGTATCATTCAGAATGCTGCAAATATAGTTCATAAATATATAAAATAACAAAAACATTATTGACAATAAAAAACAGGCGACCTATATGAATATGACTTTCTAATAACTATATATTATAGAAATACAAATCAAATCATCCACTGGGTCCAGTTATTCAAAAAATCCTTGGATGGGTTTTGATTTCCATTTTCTTTAGGAAAATAACAAAAATTATAACATATCTTAAATCACTAGATGTTTTGAATAACTTGGTCCTAGTCAAATTACTGCTTCATGATTTTAATCAAATCTAGATCGTGACCTATGCTTTTGATCAAATCTTGATTGTTAACAATGCTTTTCATCAAATCTAGATCATGGCCAATAATTTGATCAAATCTTGATTGTGAACAATGCTTTGATCAAATCTTGATTGTGACCAATGCTTTTGATCAAATCTAGATCGTGGCCAATAATTTGATCAAATCTTGATTGTGAACAATGCTTTTGATCAAATCTAGATCGTGACCAATAATTTGATCAAATCTAGACTGTGACCAATAATTTTCATCAAATCTTGATAGAGACCAATAATTTGATAAAAACTAGATCATGACCAATAATTTTGATCAAATCTAGATTGTGACCAATAATTTGAGCTATATTTCTATGGTATATAGTTAATTGTTATCAGTGATTAAGCCACACACTGTCTCCTAATTACAAGTGACCATGCAACAGGCATGCAACATAAGGTACTTCAGTGATAACTATCCACCTTGACCAATTGTTAATTTTTACTATGTTAGAAGATCTAGCCACAATATTCAGAACTTGGTCCCAATATTCAAGTTTTTCCATAATATTCATAATTTAGTCATCAATTGCCATAATATTCATGATTTAGTCACAATAATAATGATTTGCAAAAATATTCATGATTGGTCAATGGTCATGACTTGCCATAATATCCATGATTTAGTGACAATAATTTTCCATAATATTCATTTTGTCATCAATTGACATAATATTCATGATTTAGTGACAATAATCATGATTTGGCATATCATTCATGATTCATCACAAAATTCATGATTTAGTCTCAGTACATATAATTTTTCTTTATATTTTCAACCTTTCAAATCATGAAGAACAAGTTCATAAATTTTATTATTCTTCTAGATTTGGGAATTTAAAAATATAATCTAGTACATTTGGAATTCTTTTGCACAGTCAGCTCAGGAGTGAAAATATAAGAAAAATTAGAAGAAATATGAACAATTTGAAAAATTGTGTTAACAAGAGCCCAAATCCACAGTAATTTTAATAAAAGAGATATGATTTGTTATTAAAGTTGGAATATACCTGTTCATCCAGATTTGATACCAATATGACACTACTTCCAACTTGAGCTGTTAATGGTAAACCTAATCGTGCTACGTTCAGAGCTGCTGAGGATGGAACTCCAAAACTTCCACCAAGAGAGGCACCATATCCTGGCAATGGCATCGGGGTTCCTGAAAATATAAAGATTCAAAGTTAAGAAACAATTCACATGGAAAAGTGCTCTCTACTCCAGTCTTCATGAAAAGAGATCTGCAGAATTAACTGTTCTGTTGCCTACTGTACTGCTCACAAAATCAGTACCAACAAAATTTAATCTTTTCATATATACTTGAAACAAAACTGGTATATTTAAAGTTGCTTTCCTTCGATGCAACATGGATTAAAAAAAAAATTTCTAAATATGTGGTTTTTTTTGAGTTACATTAAGTTTTAATCACATACAGTAGTTCAAAAGAGAAAATGTTTTTTTTAACATTCTTAAGGGAATACAACTTTAAATCTGACTAAATACAAATCATCCAAATAGTTGATAAATGTATCAGCCAACTAAGAGAAAGAAAGAAATTAATCTTAAGTGCTGAGAAAAAGTGAAAATAGAAAAATTTACACACAACATTCAAAGATATAGGCTTAAAGCTAAATAGGTTTTCCAATCGAGCAACAGTTTATTGAATTAGATATGTTTAAGTTTCATATTTTTTTCTGTGGCATACTTCAAAAACCATCAAGGATCTGACAGAATTGTTATTAAACACATGTTCTAGGTCATTGAAATATTAAATAAGACTTCATCTAAGGAATTCAGAGAATTAATTCGTTTTGATTGGTCTATATTCTGATTTGCACAATTTTGTCAAAATCTGACTGAACAGGGTTCAAAAGGTAATCTTGTCAGATTATGAAGGGTGAGTATAGTTACCCACAGAAAAACATGAAACTCAACATCTAGATCTGCAATTTAATCAAATTTGTTTGTTAATCAGACTCAGATAGGTATCTTCTTAGAAAAGACAACAGTTGCCTATCAAGAGTTGCTTCCCTTTGGCCATGGAAAGAACAGGAAACTAGTTTTTTCGTAAACTATAGAAAGGTTGTATAAATATATGCACTATCAACTGGTTATTACAATGCGTTCGATTCAGAATTCTCAAAAAGTGTTAACAAAAGCTGAATTTGATCTCTACCAGCTTCTAATGCAAATATTTCAACAACTATATTCTTACAGATATCACCAAAATAATGAGAAATATTATGTAAAGTAATAGAAAATAGCTAGTTCTGAGCAGTTTACATCTATAAAGTCTGTAGAAAAAGAAAGAAAATAGATTACAATATTTATATTTTTTACAAATTATCATTATCATTCAAATTCAATAAAGCACAAAAATCAATTGATTCAATTCAACTTTTGAAATAAGTATCAGCTTTAAGGTATGCTACCTCTAAGGACGACCAAAAAAAATGAAATTTTTAAACGTGGCCAAAATGGACAAGTCATAATACAACAGAATCCTTCTATAATCCAATAAATCCATTAAACTACTGGTAAGTAATAATTATCAACATGCTTAGAAGTGTATTTCAATAATTATTTAGTTTAATGGAGATATTGTCTTATATAGAGATTCTATTCTTTAGTCATGGTACCTGGTAAGCCTAACTAATGAATATACAGTATACACTTGATGACCATGTTTGAGACTTTAAATTTTATGTCCAGTCTTAGAGGTAGTATACCTTAAAAGTTATGCTGCCTCTTAAAAAGACACAATATTGCTCAATGGCATGAGACTGTCCAAAAGTATGACCAGTATGGCAGAATCAATGATAATGATAATTTGTAATTGAGTTATGAAAAAGAAAAGTATTATTATAGATAGTAGACACTGAGGTGAGACAGGAGGCTTTTTTTACACTCTGATCATACCTGGTAAACCTCCAAATGCATGTGCTGAAATAATAATAAACCTCATTATTGACAATAAAATAATAATAAAATAATAATAAACCTCATTATTGACAATAAAATAATAATAAACCTCATTATTGACAATAAAATAATAATAAACCTCATTATTGGCAATAAATAAGTTTAAAGGGATTGTTAAGAGGTTTTCTACATTTTTTATGTGTATCGGGGACACTGATAGCATCAATTTGATCCATTCTAATTTTCATTCAGATGTCTGTGGTTCCTGCAATTCCACTAAAACTAACATGTTTTATGACATCACTTGAGGGAAACTGCATGGATTTTAATAGTAGCTTCCAGTTGCTCCTCTCTAGTGATGTCATAAAATGGAATGGTGTAAATTGAAGCTTTCAGTGTCCCCGATACACATAACAAATTAGGAAATCTCTGTACAATCCCTTTAACAACAAATAAAAAGGTAGGTGTACATGTAAATGTTGTTTTGAGTCTAACACAGAAAAAATAAGTATTTAAGCCGATAGAATTTTATCTGCCTTATAGCAATAGATTGGAGAACCAATTTTTCCTTACAAGACACTTTCAGCTGAATCCATTGATAATAACCAACCCCAAATTTATTCTTCTTTGTGCATATAAATTTTCTGTGTTGGACCCAAAATTTTTTGTTTTCAATTTTCAATCGGACGTCTGTGGTTCTACTAAAAGTAATTGTTTTATGATGTTAATAATATCAAAGGCCTTATGTGATAAAGGTTATTTTGCGATTAGTGACATCATCACATACTTAAGTTTTAGTGGAATTGCAAGGATTCACAGATGTCTGATTGAATATTAGAATGGCTCAAACCACATCCCTTTACTCAAAAGCTACTGTACTCTTACAGGCATAGCTGTAGAGAGATTTTTTTTTGAAGACCCTTAGCTACCGGTAATATGCCCATTAAGGTTAGTAGAAGCAACCAAATAAAAAAAAAAAGTTTGCTATTTTTCTCATGCCCCTAAGTTGATCTAATGGGGGTGTTAAAAGTAGTTGCTAATAATTGTAGGTCATTCTGGATATAAGCAGGCCCATTCCACATTATAGAACTTATAATATACTTGTCTTTCAAGAGATATCCTATATTAGTATTGTTCAAGATTTGCCATCACAATAAAAGTGCAAATTAATTTCATAAAATTTAAAAAAATTGTTCGTTGATTAACTTAGCGAAATTTCTTATACATGAACTTGCTAGCTTGAGAGCCATCATAAAAAAAGAATTCCTTACAAAAAATCTAAATTAAATTTAGATCTTCATGTTATGTTACATTTTTTATTTTTGGGTAATTTTACCTGCCATCACTGATCTGACAAAATTTTACTTTCAATCATAATCAATCAAAACTTGCCCATTAGTTTCAAAAATTGTCCTAATTTATGGAAAGGAAACAAAAAAAGTCCAGAATTCCTCACATATAACAAGGAAAGCTTTTATTGATTGATTTCATGTTATATGCTTGAACATAAGGTGCTTAACAATTTCGTCAGATCATGAATGCAAGTGATGATATATTCAGATTTACATTCTAATAAGATATCTCTGGAAAGTTAAGCTAGTTTTAAGTCAGTAAAAAAAAAAAGAGAATGGAAATTAAATTGGGAAAGGGGACAATAAAAAGTTAATAATAAAAATAAGCTAAATATATGCAGCATACCTCCAGTTTGAGGAGCAGTGGCAGTTAAGGCATGTAGGTGTGCTGGTCCAAAGCCAGGCAGAGCTGATGAGGTGACAAGACCAGGTATACCTTTACATAGTTAATAAGTTAAAAACTGGATTAATAACAAGCCAATAATAATAAAAATAATAATAATAATAATAATAATGATAATAATAATAATAATTCATAAAATACATTAGAAAGAGAGAGAAGTGAAATAAAGAAATATTCTAATAGAGATATTGAAAATTAGGATCCTAAATTCAACTTAGCAAAATTTGAAATCGTAAAATATTTTGCCAATTTGTCAAAAAGGTCAAATTTGTAGGGTTACTTATTGTTATAATATTTCACTACCTTTTTTGTACATTCAAATTCACAGTTCATTTCGATTGGTAACCAAAGATCAACTGGAGGGTAAATAAGAGGTGTGCATAATATTCGCAATTACACAGTAACTGGTTACCAAGTGTCAGTGACATAAACAGTCAATTGATATATGGACATCAACAATTATTTTACTATAAATACGGTAAACATCAAGCCTAGTCAGATATCAGAAGGGAGACAACCAGTGCTTAAATCATTCTCAAAGGAAAACTAACAAAGATGTTTTTATTCAAAATCTTATTGTAGTATCATTAGAATAATAATTTGCAAATTTGTTTAAAATATATCTGCGTATTTTGGTTCATGGCGCATTATGTAACCAAGGTAATATTGGGGGTGAGGGTTGGGTGGGGCTAGGGGTGGCGGCTGATGTGGGGCAAAAAGATACTTCAAATTAATAAAGTAGCAAAGTGTTATAGCTTTATAGAAACTAGACTAGTGCTAAGGATAAGAACAGATAGAAGTAAAAACCATTAAAGGGTACAAATTCAAATCAACAAAAAAATTCATAGTGCAAAAAAAATTCTTTTGAACAAAATTAAAAGTGATTAACAATTCAAACACAAAACATTTTTTGACCCTCAAATGTTCTAAATAGATGCATTTTCTATTTTCTAACATGTAAGCATAACTAATTAATCAACTTCTAATTTTCTAGAAACAGGGACTAATCCATAAAAATATTACAATGCTAGTTGACTAGTGGAGTCTTTTGATGTTGAAATTTGGCAGGAATAGTTGTCCACAAAATTGGAAGTTCACTAAAAAATACCAATAATAATGTACCGTCATCCCATCACATGCTGTTAATATGTGGGTGCTAAATCTGCCTCTAGTATTGAAGAATATTAAAAGGTACCTACCACTCAGATGAAACGGTTGATCAAAACCATGTTCACCACTTGGTAAATCAGGCCGTGTAAAATCTCGACTTTTATCATTGTTATATTTAACATTGAGATTAGTTAATTTAGAGTAATCTATTTTTAATGTATTACATCCATTATATATATTTTGACCATCTAAAGTCTGAAATAAATAAAAAAAAAAATACCATAATATACACGGTTTCATAAACAATAACATTTTACATAGCATTTGACATTGCTGACTTAAAAACACATCTTCACAATCTCAAGTTATTGAGAACTTCGTCTTATACCTTGACTGCAATAGCCACTGATATTGTATCGCAGGAGTTTGTACATGGAGCGATATGATTAGATTGTATGCTAGCTCTGTGAAACAAAAATAGTGGCTATTGCAGTCAAGGTATAAGATGAAGTTTGTAACTACAGTGCTATGCCTGTTTATAACACTGGTAAAAAGCGTTCCTGTGCTTCCATAACCATTGAATGTGACAAATCTCTTCATGTATTTAACATACAAGAAGGAAAGAATAAAATAAAAACAAATAGTAAATAGATATATACATGAATATAATAATTTTGTTAATATAGACAACATATGGTGTACTGTTACTTTATATCATATAAATTATCTCACCACAATATCCTAATATATGTCAATAACAATGACTCATAACTGACACAAATGATTGATCAAATGCCTGATAAAATGTTTGATCAAATGCCTGATACTAGTAATTGATCAAATGCCTGATAACATGTTTGATCCATTACAAGATAAAATGTTTGATCAAATGCCTGATACTAATATTTAATCCAATGCCAGATAACATGTTTGATCAAATCCCTGATAAAATGTTTGATCAAATGCCTAAAACTGATATTTGATGGAATGCCTAATACTGATATTTGATCCAATGCCTGATACAAATGAATATTTGGTGCCATGGCCTACACTACTGTTTGTTCCAATGCCAGATACAAATGTTTGATTCAATGTCTTATACTAATGTGTAATCAAATGTTTGATCAAATGCTTGATAAAATACTTACAACTTTAGCAGTATTAGCTGAGATAGAATCTGAAAACTGTATCAAAGCTTGGAATGTATCTGAAATAAATGTGAGTTATGTTAAACAAATGTGTGAATGCTTGAGTTATCCCAGGGAAACAAATATGAAACCTACTAGATTTCAAAAGATTGGCTTACACACTGACAATAAGTGACATCAAGTTATCCTAAAATTCTTTAAACTGGATACAACAGAGTCATGTCATCTGGTACAACATGCCAAGTGCTGATGTTTGAAGTACTAATATCAAAAAGATCCATGTCAATACCATTACCGGTAGCAGTACATTTGACTAAATACTAAAATTTCATTCATCTTTTTTCATGAAATGTAATGGCCATTAACCTACAAAAACTTTTCAAGGTGACATTTTGCAAGAGAATATGCCATTCTGTCTTGCATGCGACACATCATGACAGACAAACATCACATGTCACAGCTGTAATAGTTCTACTGCAACAAATTTCATTTTAATCTTATAGAATCTTAATTATGCTGCCAATCATCTCCAGGCTGATTATTTATTTCATACCTTGCATGGTGTCACATTTTCAGAATTTTTATTTTTCTAATCTCAATATGAAATTTCTTGTCTCTTCGTAAAAAAAATCAATAACTTTCAGACACAAATTCTCTATCTTTGACATGGTTGTTTATGATGGGAATACAAATTCCTCTCTCATGAAAAAATTACTTACTATTTTTAGTAAATGTGATGATTTTCAGAACTTTACCAAAACGTTGAAACAACTGAAAGATAAAAAGGAAAATTTACTAACAAATTGGAAACACTCTGATCAACAATTTTGGGAACACTTTGATCAACAAATCGGGAACACTTTGATCAACAATTTTGGTTAAACTTTGGTCAACAATTTTGGGAACACTTTGATCAACAAATTTAGGTAGACTTTCATCAACAAATTTAGGTAAACTTTCATCAAATTGGGTAAACTTTCATCAACAAATTTAGGTAAACTTTCATCAACAAATTAGGTAAACTTTCATCAAATTGGGTAAAATTTGATCAACAAATAGGGAACACTTTGATCAACCAATTGGGATAACTTTGTAAACTTTGATCAATAAATTGGGTAAACTTTTATCAACAAATTTGGGTTACCTATCGTATGTGCCAGACCATGCTAGACTACTAAAAAAGGCAAACTCATAGCAAAATATGTCATGGCGGCTTGGAGGCTCAAACTTAATTTTTAGCATTGAATGTTACAAGAATATAAATGAAGTAACCCACAAAAAAATAAAGGAAACTTTATATATAGGGTGCATTTTTAATTAGGTAATCATTTACTATATTATGTATGTATCAACATACCAATTTCCAGAAAGTCAAGGGCAATAACTCATCCAAAATCATTTCATTATACACCTTTGGCATTTCAAGCTTATTGAACGTTGAAAGAATAATCGAGGTAGCCCACAAAAAATAAAGGAAACTAAATATACAGAGTGTTTTAATTAGATTATTATATACCTATATGATATAAGTATATCTTACATTAATGGTATTCCATTGAGAAAAAGTGGAAGTCTGAGCCAAGTTTGGATGACCTACATATATCATTAATTAAACAGTATTTTGTTACAAGGAATGTAGACCAGTAGGTCTTTGATTCTATTAGCTCAGTTCATTATTCCTAACTTACAGATAGGCTAGAAGACTAAAAGCCTTGGCTATATATAGTTATCTCATAAATCATATAATATCATTTCACTTAACAGCATTTCCACAGAAAGAAACCTTCTCTATAATAAGTTTTTAGCATAGTACAAATTTTACATCCCATCTTTTTTTAAAGTTAGGTTGCCTCTTTTTAAATAACACTTTCATGAACCGATATTTGGGCCAAAGAAAGAAAGAAAAGAAACAACTATATTTTACACGGATAACAACTTAGATTCACAGTTAAGAATCCTTTCTTCCAACTGGTCCTTGGCCAAATCTCTTGGCATTGATATTTCCTGGATTATCAAAACCCATTTACAGCTGGGTTGACTGGAATTATGAGTGAAGATGACTTATTACTCGCCGATTGAGAATTGAACCCACAGCCAACATTAAGAAATTCAATTGACATCATGTTGAGAACCAATGCTTTAACTGAGTGTGCAGTAGAACTTCTAGCCAGGTACTAGAATGCACTCAAATAACCTTTTAACTCAAACATTCATATCAGTAATTCCAAACACATGACGGCAATCAAACTTGTTAAAAGATCCCATTTTGTAGCATACAAAAATTAAGCAAGAACCAGACACAGGACATGAACAAGAAATATCACAAAATTTCTGCAAAAAATAATGACAGCAATCTAATATGTTTGTACCACAATTCCAACTAAGTGTTGAATAAAAGTGTTTTATCAAATGAGGAAATCCAACTTGAAGAAACAAGGAAACTGTTAGAATCCATCTAAACTCCATTAGACAGGTATGCAACCATAAAACATATCGTGTTTAATGAGATTTTTTGAAATGTCAAGACATACTTTACTTTTCTGAATTTTTTGAGATTTTTGATATTAAAGTAGACTACAGATACAGCTAATGTGATGGAGATGGATTCAGAATTCTATTATAAGGCTAAAATGGGGAATTCAATTTCTAGACTCATATTAATCTTTCTTTGGTTCCAACTGGTTGTCTGTTAGGAAATTACAAGAGATGACACAGGTACTAAACCAAACTTCTGATTTCAATTAAAATGCTTGTAAGAGTCACCACAAAGGCCAAATCGCATGTTTAAACTGACAGCAATTTTTTTCAAGTCTTCCTTCTATGTAATCTAATCAAAATTAGACAACAATTTTGTTTCGCTATACTTCTTTTTGGGGTCTCCATTGTAATCTAATGAGATTTATACTGAGGTCGTGTACTGGTGAAGCTTCAAGCTATATATCAACCAATCAGAATCACTTTTAAAATCGACAGTCTCATAATTCTTCATAAGTCATAGCGCTCTACTTCGGGTTTCGCTATTCACAAATTCATAGTCAATATATGACCAACTGTGATTGGTTGAAATGACGTCAACAGTATGTGACCAAAAAAAAAAAACAAAACAAAAATCCAATCTGATATGAACTGGCCTTTTAGAAATATAAATATTCACAGCTTACCTGATACAAGACATCTAAAGTAACAGGGTACAGGACATTATCAACTATAACACGTAAAATAGTGGTTTGATCATCAGTACTGGATGAACCTGGACTACCCATGACTCCTACTTGAGCTGCTTGTAGGGCTGCTTGTGCTGTGGCGTTCTGAAAAGATATCGAATAAAATATAAGATGGCATAGAGATTAGAAGTTCAGTTGGCAAAATTTTGATTTGGTTTTACATTCAATTCTTAGGTTTCAGCATACTCTATGGGGTGAGAGCCCTATTTATAAAATGGGGCTTGCATTCGTAAGCCATGACTACTTTTCATTATTTGCAACCAGAAGTGGTTGCTAAGCATCTTCAGGGTGGGGGTGGGGGGAGGGGGGGTCTACCAAATGTTGTTTATTGTGGTATATGTATTTACTTGTTTATTTAGACACATCAACAATATTATCATTCCAAACAATAACTTCCTCGAATATGTAGAAGAATATTGGCATGACATGAGAGACATGATAATTGGTATCAAAGAATCAAGGTCTGGTAATTACCTTGTAGAAATGGGCAATTATTATGTTATTGTTGGCAATGAACACATAGAAATAACATTTTTGATAACATTTTAGTGTGCATGTACTATATCATATTGAAACAGATGATAATACAATGCTTGTAAATTGGTTCTACAGAATAATATTATGAAATGCTAATTCCTAAACAGTTTGATTGGAAATTACATTGTGCATTTTGGTTGTGTGACAGCCAAAAAAAAATTCAATATGATGACCATTTAACAAATCAGATAACTAAAAAATTCATATCATTCAATAAGGTCTAAACCTCTAAATGCACCAAAAGTACCCAAGTGTATTACAATAAAAAAAATTGAAAGGTAAATTAAATAAACAGTTCTTAAACAAAGAATAAATTTCACAACTCATTTGTACACATAAACAGTGACAGAGCCAGGTGTACTCCGAGGGGTGGCAAACTATCTGAGATTGCTTGAAATTCCAACCTAGTTATGAAATTTTTTGCCCGAAAACTTGCTTGCTGCCCCCTCTGTTCCCCCCACCCCCCTTTGGCTCCGCCACTGCATATAGGCTACTAGGACATTTTCACCATTGCAAAAACACTTTACGTTTGAAAACACTGACAAAATTGGCACATGGGGTATTTTATAGCACAAGACTAATATAACAATTGGTAATACATTTATATGTAAAATATTTGACTTCTGCTCTCTTAGAGACTAGCTCTGGTCTGATAAAAATTAAGAAGATGGTACAAACCTGTAGTGCATGTGAAGCATCTGTTTTCAGTTCTTTATGATTAGAAAATTGGACGTAACAAGGTTTTGCTCGAATATGGGCTGTGCAATTTTGGTAATAGGACACCATATTACTGGCTGACTGTTCATCACTGAATTCTAAAAATGCCTGGAAATAAACAAAAAGAATTCTGTAAAATAATTCCAAAAATACTAAAATCAAGAGAAACTTTTACCATAAATTTTGCTACCACCCTTTCTTACTTCAATCAATCATTCCAGAAAACCAAAGGATTCGAATATGTAAGCTGATCAACAGTTGGACTTACCAGGTGCCATGACTAACGAATAGAATCTCTATATATCCATAACGCAAAGTAATAATTGAAAAACTCTAAGCATGCTTCAAAGTTACTAAATTTAATGAATTATTACTTATTTTAATGGATTTATTGGATTGTAGAGGGATTTTGTTGAATAGCTATAACACCAAGTAAGTTCACTGATGTCAATTTTTTGGTCATCCTGAGAGCTAGCATACCTTTAATATATTAGTGGCAAAGTACAAATGTAACTTTATGCACTAAAGAAAGGTATATGTTGTCAGTACCGTTATGTCAGAATATGTAATTCACATCAGTATCTGAATTAGTATTCTTGTTAAGAAAAAACTTAGATAAACATCATGTTAACAATAGTACAAGAGTTTATTGTCTAAACTTTCTATTTTATTATCTTTCAAAACATCAGTCTTTCTCTTTAGTATTCTATCACACTCTACTTTACTCTTGTTTTACCAAGAATCTTTTGAAAAAAATCAGTCTTGTTAACCGCAATTGTTCAAACTATGATGCAAACAATTTTGATACCCATTAACAGAATGGCATGAGGTGTTATCATAGAAATATAATAATTGGCAAAATTTTAGGAAAATTGCTTTAAGTGAGAAATTGAGAGATTGTAAAGAGGTTTTCTAAACATTTTATATGTATAGGAGACAATAATAGCATCAATATGCACCATTCTTCAATCAGATGTTTGTGATTCCTGCAATTCAGCTCAAACTAAGTGTTTTATCACATTACTATCCCAAAAGGCCTTTAGTGATGTAATTAAATGCTTAGTTTTAGCTGAAAAGCAAGAGCCACAGGACTGAAAATTTGAATGGTGCAAATTGATGCTTTCAGTGTCTCTGGTACACATATGAAATTTAGAAAACCTCTTTACAATCCCTTTAAAGTTAAATATGAAGTTCTCAAGAAAGGAGTCAGTAAACCTGTTGTTAAAAAAATACTTTGTGACAATGACTAATCTGAATTACATAAAAACACTTGGCACAGATATATTGGAATAATCCATTTCTATCAAATATTCATCTAGTTCCAGTAGCCATGACATTGATGACAGAGCAAAATGACAAATTTGGTTTTTTTTGGATGTAGCAGATTCTATAATTATAAAGAATGATTGTACAGATATAATCTAACTAGGACTAATCTTGGAATGGGAGATGACATTAAAAATAATATTATAAAATGTATCAAATAAATGCTGTGTGGACTTCTTGAATAAGTGCTGTAGTGGCAAAAAAGTAATTTTGAGGATGGGTGATTTGGTCTATTTTGGTAAGTGAATAAAGGTCAAACCTTTCATAACAATTTTCTTGAGTGAAGAAAGGTCAAGCATTCCATAGCAATTTTGTAAGTAAAGAAAGGACGCTCATTCCATAGCAATTTGTTAAGTAAAGAAAGGTCGCTCATCCCATACCAATTTTCAGAAATATAGAAAGGTTGCAAACATTCTATAGCAATTTCGGTAAGAGAAGAAAGGTCAAACCTTTCAGAGCAATTTTGGTAAGTACAGAAAGTCGCTCCTTTCCTAGCAATTTTCAGAAAAGAAAGGTTGCACATTTCATAGCAATTTTGGTAAGTACAGAAAGGTCGCTCCTTTCCTTGCAATTTTCAGACAAGGAAGGTTGCACATTCCATACCAATTTTGGTGAGTACAGAAAGGTTGCTCCTTTCATAGCAATTTCAGAAATATAGAAAGGTTGCACATTCCATAGCAATTTTGGTAAGTAAAGAAAGGTCAAACATTTTATAGCAATTTTGGTAAGTAAAAAAAGGTCATACATTGCAGGGTTATTATGATAAGAATGTATTAATCTCTCAAAAAAAATTACATTTCAAATCAGATTCATAGCAGGTATTCATATCTAAAACACATTACACATAAGTAAACAGGCATAAAGTTCATGAAAGAATTTTTATGAATATTTTAAAGACCAATGGCTAAAATCATTCGACCTTGAAATATGAATTTGTAAACACCTTTGAAAGGAAATCATGCATGATACATCAAGTTAAAATGTTAATGTATCAAAACTGGGCCGGCATTAGTTTACCACATTTTCGTGATAAATGAGCTCTATGTGTTATATGCAATCTCGAGAGATTTGTGATTGTGATTGAATCAGTATTGAGTAAACGGTTGCATGACAGCCATTCAAGTTCCTTGTTGTTGCTGATTAAGTTGACAACAACGCCTGCATATTCAAACAGTCACGCTCGTTTTGCTATGGATTTTTCATTAAAATGAAATGGCCATAAAGAGATAATCAAACCTTGTAGAATGGGAAGAACTGTTTATATTTTATTTGTCCATTGACAGTTGATTGATAATAGGTTCTTGAATAAACTACAAATGTATTTTTTAAGCTTATTGGAAAATAACACTGTATTGCTCAATTTATCAACATTTACTGCCTTTGGGACCATGCCAAACTGCTTAATTCTCTTACTTAGCATGACATAGAGCTTAGCTTATGTAGATTACTTAGCATGACATAGAGCTTAGCTTATGCAGATTACTTAGCATGGCATAGAGCTTAGCTAATGTAGATTACTTAGCATGGCATACAGCTTAGCTCATGTAGATTACTTATCATGACATAGAGCTTAGCTTATGTAGATTACTTAGCATGACAAACAGCTTGGCTTATGTAGATTACTTAGCATGGCATACAGCTTGGCTTATGTAGATTACTTAGCATGGCATACAGCTAAGCTTATGTAGATTACTTAGCATGGCATACAGCTAAGCTTATGTAGATTACTCAGCATGACATACAGCTTAGCTTATGTAGATTACTTAGCATGGCATACAGCTTAGCTTATGTAGATTTGAAACATTGTGTGTCTTATTATACTAACACAGACTCTATGCAATGTGCAATGCATATTTCATTCATTAATTCATAATAAGAAGAAAGAGGATTGAAAAGCATTTATTTTCAAAAATAATCCTTCAATACATAAGCTAATAGAGTAAAATCCCTTCCAAATATTTATTCAAAGAATCCTTGCCTAAAACCTAATCTAATATTTATGAAATTATTTTCATATAACACAGATTAGAAAATAACTCTACATAGAATTAATATGAGTTTGACTAGATCTAAGCGAGAATGGCTACTACTTATTCATTGAAATAACAACAGTAATCAATATACTCCCTAGAGAGATGATAGTAATCACTCTACCTTTCATCATAATGTTTAATTTCAACTAAATCAAATGACAATCTACCAATGGGTTATTAAAAATTTACACTTTCATAAAAAGAATGTTTTGTAAAGATTCGAAACTGAGAGTTGGTTGTTTAAAGAGGCTCTCCCACATATATAATTTATGTTGGGTAGCACTATTCATTTCAAGATCAAGTGTTACAGCTAATAATATTTTGACTGCATTATTTATTTCATAGAAATATTAGACACCAGCAACCAAATATAATTCAAAACTGATTTTTGAGAAGCTGCAAAATATTTTGTGTTTTGAAGAGTTTCCACTGACATTTTAGGTCATTTCCCTTGCAGCAAATTTTTGGTGATGTTGGTGGACTTCTTAATATTAGGTAGAAAATAACAGGTACTTTCAATTTTTGACATTACAGGACAAGTGTCATTAAAGGGATTGTAAAGAGGTTTTATAAACTTTTTATGTGTATTGAGAGCACTGATAGCTTCAATTTGCACCATTCCCATTTTCATTCAAATGACTGTGGTTTTTGCAATTCCACTAAAAGTAACACGTTTTATGACGTCACTAGCTGCATAAATATCAATAGTAGCTTTCAGTAGCTCTCCTCTAGTGATGTCATAAAACACATTAGTTTTAGTGGAATTGCAAAAACCACAGACGAAATTGCAATGGAGCAAATTGATGCTATCAGTGTCCCCGATACACATAAAAAGTTTAGAAAACTTCTTTACAATCCCTTCAAGTATAAATGGAATGCAAGGTTATAGAGTAAATGATAAGTTTTCAAGTATTTAATATTTAATACATATACAACTCTCCAGGTAATATGTTATAATAATATAGATTATTATTTCTTTATAGTTTTAATATAAAGCACAAATTATGCATGTTGGATATATACATATATTATTATCAGTTAATAGCTTTCATTTAAAGAGACCTATCATAGGAATTGACAGTGAGTGCCATTTCAGGGCAAACACAAAGTAAGCTCTTAAATAATATTAAAAAGAGTTGTAGATCCTCCTTTTTTTTGCTCCTGGACAAAGATATATAGTGTGTTCAGACGACTAAAGTTAATGCAGTTAAACTATCAATTGTTCTCCAAGCCAGAATTAGAGTTTTTTTGTTCAGTGGGACATAAAAGTTAATCCAGCTTTGAAATTACCACGGAAATTATTGGAAGTCAAGTCACAATATCATTACACATTAATGACAACAATAATAATAGTAGGAATTTGTTTAGAGGAATGCACACTCGCACATATCCGAATTAATATTAGCCAAAACTGGTGGTGTTCAGACAGCCAAACTAAGCTGGCTTAACTATTCAAGTAAAGGTGGATTAAATTTAACAGGTTGCGTTCAGACAACTAAAAAGACCAGACTCAGAGAAAGGTTGATAGTTTAGCTGCCTAAACTTTAGTCATCTGAACACACTATATGCTTACAATGAAATATTGCTTGGAATCATCAATCACAATTTGTATATCTTCAAAGTGTCTATATATATTAATTCATAACTTTATAACTGTGATATTTGGTAATATAATTGATAGAAGTGGTTAGCATTCACTGTCTTATAAAATGTTTCTAACAATTTCAGTGGAAAAAATTGTTATATATCATAAAACAACTTTTAAAAATCCCCACTTTTTTATGGAATAAAAGATATCGTCAAGTATGGATACACATACGATGCGCATATGGTGCCATGTCGTATCGCAATATATCAATTCACCGATAAATCATGCCAGCACTACAGTGAAACCCTGCTTACCACAATGTCAGACTTGAGGTAAAAAACGCGTTAGATTACCATGAGCGCGAAAATGGGACAAAATTTTTTAATAACAGTTAGGTTAAAGTGTTTCAATGTCATTTAGCTAGAATTTAAGATATGTGTTATGCATATTAATGAGCCAGGAGGCTGGAGAATCTATCATCAACGATCTACCAGCCTGACCTAAACAGAGGTAGACACATATCTCATGAATATGATAAAACTTATTCACTTGTAACCATTAATATACATAACAATATATTCAATATGTTAATAACTATTACAACTGCAGTAATAGATATTTATTATGTTTAACATTCTAATTCTCCCTCAACATAAGGTTTCATATATATAAAATAATAATAATATTTCATCAGTAAAAAGTTTTATTTTACGTTTTATGCAGTTATATTATTTATATAATCAGCCATTGTATGTTTTTTAAGGGAACAGATCTGCCATTTTCGGGTGTTAATTTGGGTCTTGAATATATAAAAGAGTCTTCAGAAGTACTAGAAATGTACAAAAATTGCATAATTCCTTCAAAAATACCTCAAACTAGGAATTTCCCTTATATGTCATTTCTATATATGGCAAGTCCCAAGAAATGACGAGTCGTTATTTTAACAGTCAAAAGTGGATAATTCTGGACACACGTCGATTTAAATGCCCAAATTTTTACGGTGAGCTGTGAACACTATTACTAATTAGCTTAGCTAAAAAATTCGCATTTTTGAGACTAAAGTAAAATTGGTCAAAAGAATGGCAAACCTGTCCCTTTAAGGACTAATATTTTGGACTTGACTCATCAGGAATCTCAAGCAACAGTCTAACCTACATTCAGATCTTTTTTTAATTTTGAACATCATCAAGCATATATATCTTTCAATCAAAATAATCATAGTAATCAAAAATGTTGCTAGCGTAAGCTGCTTCACAAGAGAATATTCAAATGTCAATAATTAGCTTCTGATGAAAAAAATGGGGAAGTTGTTTGAAGTGTAACAGCTGCAGGACTTGTTACCTAACCATTAGAATTTCATTTTAATTTATGATTAACAGAATGCTTTCAGCAAAAAATAATCAATATTCTAATTTGACAAATAGAGTAGATTTTAAAAGTTAATAATATATTCTAATATTCAGCTAGAATTTCTCATTTATTTTCATATTCATATACTGTACCATAAATCATAATATGATTATTAGGTTTATAATGACACGGATTCTTTTGATATTGGGGTAGTTCTTCAAATATTAGAAAATTTCTTTTATATCTTAGTCTTCTAACATTCTTTTTAAAAATAATGTAATGACCAGATTAATGATGCCTTCACTCCATAGCGATTACCAGTTGTGTATGGTTACGAATAATGAAAGGGGTCATGAGCAACTCAGTTGCATGAGCTAACCTGTCTCACGACGGTCTAAACCCAGCCCTGTTCCCTGTTGGTGGGTGAACAATTCAACGCTTGGCGAATTTTTCTTCGCAATGATAGGAAGAGCCGACATCCAAGGATCAAAAAGCAACGTCACTAAGAACGCTTGGCTGCCACAACCCAATTATCCCTGTGGTGACGCTATACTTATTTGCTACCAGTCGCTAAGGTGTGATTAAACATTAAAACAAGTAACCGTTTCAGATTCTGTATTAATATTTCTATATCAAATTTTAACAGTGACAAATTTTGTTATTGTATATCTTCAAACAAATTTCAGAGCAAGAATTAAACCACTACATACCTGGCTTTTCTGTTTGAGCAGTAGGACATTGGTCATTTTACCAAAAGGCATTCCTAATTGTACTATTTCCGTTTCTATGGAATCCACAGGTAAACTGCGTAGATGTACAACTCGTGATGTGCCATTTGCAGTCTGTTCTGACAATTTCACCTGAAAAATATAAACAGCATTTTCTTAAGATTATTCATAAACAGATTTTCATTATAAGTAAATATCTTATCATAGTGACTCATTAATATGCGAAGAACAAATATTCATGATAAATTCCAGAATTCAATTTATCATGCTGAATATTGCCAACTGGTAAATAATATTACTGGTAGTTTACTGTCTATAAATTGTAGACAGATAACAGCTCTGGAATGACTAGTATCATAAGGTATTGAAACGATATGGCCACAAAAGTGCAATTTATAGGCCAATAAGAGAACAATGTAAATTTGAGACTATTACTATGAGTGCTTTTGCTTGCAGTTCTGAATGTATTGCAACTTAAAAGGATACTACCTCTTAGAATGGACATAAAATTTAAAGTCTCAAATTTGTTGAACAATATTCATCAGTTGGACTAACCAGGTGTCATAGAATCTCCATTAAACTAAGTAATTATTAAAACACACTTCTAAGCATGTTTAAAAATTACTTAGTTTAAAGAATTATTACTTAGTTTAATGAATTATTACTTAGTTTAATGGATTTATTGGATTATAGAGGGATTCTGTTGTATAGTTATGACACCAAGAAAGTCCACTGATGACAAAAAACTCATTCTAACCAAGTTTAAAATTTAAATTTTTTTGGTCATCCTAAGAGGTAATATGCCTTTAAGAACTTAAGAAGTGCAGATGCTTCCATCAAACAAGTCATTGATATCCACCCAAAAATATCAGATTTAAGATATTAAATACTGTAAGATTAAACTGACTGGGTAAATTGGGCAGAAGTATGAGAAATTTTAGACTGAAGTACTGAAGTCCACTTGAAGATGAAAGAAGTTTATGATATTTATATTAAACAAGATGAACTAGATCAACCACTTTCCATCTAATAACTTTACTTATTAACCTTATCTTGTCTGGCTTACAGACACCAAGAAGTGGGTGGATCTTACCATCTCACATGTCCATGAACCTTGCCTTTGTGTACAAATATCACCTCAAGCAAAAAATCCTGTCAAACTCAAAGCAAAATTTAAACTTTCAAAAATAACATTGAACTTGAAGTAGCTGTATCAATTCACTGCATTTATAAACTTCTGTGATACAAGAAAGGTGACTATTGCAGTCAAGGTATAAAACACAGTTCTTAATAACATGATATTGTGAAGATGACTGTGTAGATGAATTTACACTTTAATATGCCTGGCAATAAAAGTTCAGAGTTTCTGAAAACTTAATCTAATATAAACAGCAAGAAGCTAGAAAATCTCGTTAATTCTACTATTTCACGTTTAATTAAAACTCTTAGACATAACTGACAATAACTATTTTGACTACATCAAATATTAATCAAGTGGCGCTCAAGTCTGTTAGAATCACTCTCACTTGGCGTTCCTGATATTTTTTGTCTGTGATTCATGCCAAATAGTTCACATGACCTGAATATCTGTATGATTAAGATGAAATTAAACTCTGCTAAGAATGCAATTAAGCATGATGTCAGATGGCTTTCATTAGAAGCTAATAGTTAATAATAATAATAATAACAACAATATTTCAGTCCTTGTGAGATTTTACGGACTCCTTTGATTCTTGAACCAGATAATTTGAAACATGCCTGTAGTCATGTACAAGAGACATAAAAAATAGAAGAATCTGTAAGGTTCAATGCAAAGAGTGATGAATGGTTTCTGCTAATTTTCCATAGTCAATTAATGCGCCATCAGAGCAAACAACTTGTAGCACATTTTTCAAATTTTGTCCTTATATAGACATTAGGACAGACTATAAATTAGATTAAGTCCATTGAGCCCTCTTAGTAAGGTTCTACAGTACATTCGGTTATAGACCGAAACATCTGTCTTCATTCCAGCCTCTGATAGCTATTGGACAGATGTCAGCTGGTGTAGAAACAGCGAAATGGGGAAATAGGGACATTCAGGTGCAGGGTTTTTAAACCTATTTAGATACTATGGATCTGCAAAACCCAGGTATATTTGGAAAGATGAATATTTAAAACTGCGTGTTCAGCCAAAAGTTCAAAGGTCACAGTCACTTGATACTAACAAAATGAAAGTTACTGTGATGCCCAATAACAATCACTGTAAAGGTAAATGAATATTTTGTGTAAAAAATGCCCATTTAACAGGGCCTTTTTTTTCTGTCTCTACTCCAGCTGACAACTGTCAAAATATCCATCTGGAATAGAGGCAGATGTTTCAGACCAAATTGTTTGTTTAATACATGATGTCATTTGCTTGATTGGTTGCTGTTGGTGCTGATCTCCATCGGCATGTGATAGTCCGATGACCTTGAATAAGTCATCTTCACTCATAATTCCAATCGACCCAGCTGTAAATGGGTAGAGATAATCTGGGAAAGATCAATCCCATGAGGTTTTATCAAGGACCAGCTGGTAGAAAGGGTCTTTTGTAAACCTCAGTTGTTATCCTTATAAAATATAGTTGTTTCATTCTTTCTTTCTAAAAATATCAAACCAAGTTGGTTGCCATGGCTGACAATGTATTATAATTATATTATGAGGTTTAAACAAATACTGAGAGTAAATTAATGGAGACATTAAACTATGGGCAAGATAAACAGGTTTTTCAAAACAATTATTTTTAATAATTTCAAATGACTTGACACCTCTATACAGGTGAAATAATGAAAGAGTAGATATACACCTAACTAGCCTGGTGTCAGCATACACCAATGAGTAAATAATACAGCCACAATGCTGTTACGCCCAAAATTAATGGTTGTGTGGCAACCATCCAAATATTTACTATTTCTCACTGGTCATTCAAGTATAAAACGATCTGAACAGACGTCCTAAAAATTCATGATGTATGGTTTAAAGGCTGTCTATCTTAATTAAACCGATTCCAAAATTTTAGATGATGAAAGCTGAAATCTGCCACATACCAAAATTTTTATCAAAATCTGACAACAAAATTAAATGAAGCTTCACATATCTTATTTAAGGGCAAAATTGAGCTAACTGCTGAAATGGTGAAATCATTGGAAATAACTGGAAAGAAACATTACATTCTTCATATGATTGCTTCACAAAACCTGACAAAGACCTCATGAATGCATGTTAAACTTCAAAGCACCAAAAATATAATCCAAATTATTTCAAAACAACTATCTCTTTTAAGTCCAAAATAATTGGCATAATTAAAACTAATTTGTAAAAGAAAGTTTGGTTGGAATTTCGCTTCAGCTAGCAAACTTAGGTAGCATGTTGAGAGGTAAAAGAGAATGAAAACAATAGTCATTGAGCAGTATTTATCTTAGATTGCCTATCTCTTTGACACTACATACTTTCTCTGGGTGAATTGTCTTGATAAGAGTAAGATAACATCGCCTTAACATAACAATATTAAACCATAAATATCAGAGGCTCTGTGTATGCACTTTAAGCATTTTTGGCCAGAATTCCATTGCAGGAAGATCCCATATCATCTTCATTCTTGGCTGATACAATGTACTTGTTCTGCATCATCAAGTATTATGAATGCAGCACAGAACTTTGTAATCAGGGCAAAATGTGGTATCCATAAATCCTTTATGATGACATTTTTAGGCTTTTATCAAGGTTAGATGGATATTAAGAATTCAGAAATAAATTTGATGCCAAGAACATGCCAAGAACAAAAATTTGATGCCAAATGAAAATTCTATATTTTAAGCATCAAGATACTTTAAACTTTTCTTCAACAAAGTCAATATACTAATGCATGTTAAATTTAAATTATCTACCACTAAATTGCATGTGAGTTTGAATCCTAAAGGCAAAACTTTGATGCCACTGTCTGTGCTTCAATCGTGTTGAGAAACTATCAGCTCTAAATTGAGTGAAGACAAAATTTGATTCTTCAGGACCTAAATTACCTCCAATTGGATGCTCTCAGTGAATATTATACCTAATATGGCAGTCTGGATTGACCTATTTACTAATACACCTACATCAGAATCATTAAATTACATCAACTTGTCAGGATGCTCTCAGTTAATTTTGGTCCCTATTTATTCACAGTATAACTTGATCACTATCTATTCACTATTCTGTACCTTGGCCTGTGCTTTCGTAATTTCAATTATATCTTGTTACTAAGGCTCTTAAATTATATTAAAAGGATGCAGAACAGGATGCTCCGAGTTAATTTTGGTCCTTATTTAGTTACTCTAACCAAGTATGGAAGGTTGGCTTGATTTATCTACTAAAACACCTGCATCAAGTGTCATTTCACAACAGCTTTACAGGGGAATAATAACTGTATTTAATATCAATGAAAGTTATTTTAGATAGTATCGACTATAAAACCATTGTCAAAATATCATGACATTTAACTAAGTCTATTATCAATTAGTCTAAAATTCCTGCTTACAATACCATTGTATTTATTATGCACTGTAATTGGCCGGCATTTAGTCATGAGTCAGTTTAGAACAATCCTAGGGGACAGGTTATAATATCAAATTTATTCTGATTGATATAGATAATGGATTTCAACCTTCCTAATGGAAGACTTATAAATATTTCATGTTAATTTTTAGCCTACTTAATACAAGACTCAAAATATTAGCTATAATGGACAGAGCCTATTCAACTGAAATTTATACCCTGTTTTTTTTATTGATAGTGTTGCTGATTCAAGAATAATAGTAACAATGTTGTATTCATACATTGAAATGTATTCAGCACAATCAAAGCATATTAGTCTCTACTCAATTTATTCCATATAAAGCAAGTTTTTATGTGGAAAATTATCCTCCCGGGCCTGTGCTTTTGTAATTTCAATTATATATTGTGCTTACAACAACTTTCATCTAAATTTCACATCAACTATTGTCAGTTCCTTTAATTGAAATTAGAAATAATTTTGTTTCGTTACATCTTTTTAGTTTCGTTACATCTTTTTAATCTCCATTGGAATCTAACAAGATTTA